AGCCGTTTTAAGAACTGCAAAGAAACGTTTTTTCAATTTAAAACTGAACTGATAACCTGCTGTGTCAGTCGTGAGAATGCTATCAACAACAACAACAACAAGATTACATTTGTATAGCGCCTTTCACGTCGGGAGGACGTCCCAAGGCACTGGACAGAGTACAGCATTTCAGACCAGAGCTGGGGTTGGGGGGGTTAAGGGAGGGGAGGGGAAGGAGGGTGGCCGATGGCATGGTCGAAGAGGAGGGTCTTAAGGTGGGACTTGAAGGAGGCTAAGGAGGGGCCGAGGTGGAGTGATTGGTGGATGGAATTCCAGAAGTTGGGGCAGAGTGGCTGAAGGCTCTCCCGCCAATGGTGGGGCAGGTGGGTGGGGGACATGGAGCAGGCCGGAGCCGGCTGAGCGGAGGGAGCGGGCAGATTGGTAGCGAGTTTGGAGGTCGCAGAGGTAGGGTGGGGCGAGACCATAGAGGGCTTTGTAGGTGAGGACCAGGATCTTGAACTGGATCCTCTGAAGGATAGGGAGCAATGGAGTCGGGCAAGAGTGGGGGAGATGGGGTCATGGAGTTTGGTGCGGGAGAGGACACAGGCTGCAGAGTTCTGGATTAGCTGCAGCCTGTGGAGGGAGGAGTTGGGAAGGCCGACAAGCAGGACGTTTGCATAGTCGAGCCTGGATGTGATGAAGGTATGAACAAGAGTTTCAGCGGCCTGAGGGGTGAGGTAGTGGCGGAGTCGGGCGATGTTACGGAGGTGAGGAGAAGCAGAGCGGGTCATGGCTTGGATGTGGGGAAGAAAAGACAGTTGAGGGTCGAACAAGACACCTAGGTTCCTGACTGGCTTGGTGAGTTGAAGTGTGCAACCATGGAGGTTGATGTTGCCAGAGCCTGAGGTGCCGAGGCACTGGCGCGAATCAATCAGGAGGGCCTCTGTCTTGTTCACATTCAACTGTAGGAAATTTGCCCTCATCCAGGACTTGACCTCCGACATCAACTGAGCCAACCTGATACATTATACAATTTGACACTATGAACTATATATGTGTGTGATATGTGTATGTGTGTGTGTGGCGGGGGGGTTAATATGCTGTATAATTGGATTTCTGGAAGTCCATCCAAACCTCCGTCGCACCACCTCCCTCCCTCACTTTCAAAGCTCACTCCTTGTTCTCACTCCTTGATGTATATGTGAATTTTAGTAATGTTTTCGTAATAAATGGCATCTGTTCTTTCCTAACCCTGTCAGTGTGAATCCCTGTTCGAAGGTGGCTCAACTGAGTCAGAATTAGACACTCAGACTGGCATTCCCAGTTAACTCCAATGCCCGGTAACTGGAATGTCTAATCGTAGTCCGCTCGTACTGCCAGAACTATGATGTTGACAGCCTTTCTAGCCCATATCTGTGCTATGTCTCATTCTGTCTTCCCCCACGTTCACAACATCAACTGCCTCTGCCACTGTCTCACACCACAGGCCACCGAGACCTTCATACATGCATTCATAACATCCAGGCTCAACTATGGAAATTCCCTGCTTGTTGGCCTCCCCAACTCCTCCCTCCACAAGCATCCAGAATTTGCAGCCCATGTCCTCTCCCGAACCAGGCTCCACGACCCCATCACTCCCATCCTCACCCAACTCTTCTGGCTTCCCATCACACAGAGGATATGGTTCAAGACCCTGGTCCTCACCTTCAAAGCCCTTCATGGCCTTGCTCCCCCCTACCTCTGCGACCTTCTAACTCCCTACCAACCTGCCCACTCCTTCCGCTCAACGGGTTCCAGCCTGCTTCATGTACCCCGCCTCACTCGTCCTACCTTTGTCAGGCTGGCCTTCTGCCACTCTGCTCCCATTCTCTGAAGCTCCACCCTTGCCTCCTTCAAAACCCGCCTCAAGCTCAAGACCCTCCTCTTTAACCATGCCTTCGGTCTCCCTCATTCCCCCCCTGCTCTCCACCCACTCCGATCCCATCCCCTAGCTCAGGTCCGAAACACTGATTGTCCAGCATCTTGGGATGTCCTCCCAATGTGAAAGGCGCTATACAAATGTAATTGTATTGTTGTTCTTATTTTGTTCCCGTCCCTTGGCTACGTATGTGCTCTGTGATGGATAATGCCACACCGCCATGGGCAGCTGGCACGGCACCAGGTGTAACTGCAGTATGTACATACATACGTAGGTGCTCTGTGGTGCACAATGCCATAGTGCCACTTTAACTCGGCGTCCACCAGGTGTAACTGCGGTGCAAAACTCAAAACTGAAAATGACTCATGAACTATAGGAGATACCAAAAAGCAAATATGCCCATGTCACTCCCAGTTGCAATACCTTTCTGATGAGGTATAAATCGTGTCTATAGTCAATTGGTTATTGAGATCCTTCTTGAGGCGCAAACATATATTGTTGTTTTATTAGTATATAATAGATAGAAGAAAGATACAATTTAAGATAAACAACAATGGGATCCAGTATAACCAACACACATAACTATACAACCAGCAGCACAATATTACTTTAGTAAAGTGGTTTCAACCAACCCGACTGTACAGTAGTCCTGTACAGCCAGTGTGTACCGGGTGATGACCATTAGCTAGTGACCACGAGGAGCGCTGAGCATTGCCTTTTATAGGCAGGTAGCTCCACCCACTGTATGAAGTGAATGCGAGGGGCTTTTTCCCACGCGAGCACCCAAGTATTATTTCCTTTCCAGGCTGCTTGTTAACTGCCTGTCTATCAAGCAGCCTTATGCTATATGTTGTTGCAACTTGGGCACCTCATGTGCTCTGTTCGTTAAGTCTTTTGCAAGCAGTTTCTTAAACAGAATCTAATGAAAAGGGCAGGCCTCCCCATTTTCCTTAAATAATATTATATAGTTATATATATATTATTTACACGTTACTAAGGATTGCAAAAATAGGGTAACCGTGACCCTCAGGACCTCCCACTCCCTGGTTTGGGTGCCCAGTCAGCTGTGTGAAGTGCTTTGAGATGTCATCCCGAGGTGAAATAAAATGTACAATGCATTGTGTATTGTACAAGGTGTTTACAAAGTCCTGTTAGCCCCTGTTTTTTTCTTACAAATAATTTTTATTTTCTGCTGTAGATGAGTCAAATGTAACAATGTCTGATACCAGTAACTATACCATCAAGGAACGTGTTGTGGTCAGTACCTGGGACCATGAACGTCCAACAACTGGAAATACAATGGAAAATATACGTTGTGATTTTAAGGCAAGGATTTCAAAAAGTGGCTCCCCCAAAAACATTGAACGCTTGTACTGAATACACTTAAGTACTTCGAAATACAATCATCATAATTCTTCCACATGTTTCAATGCTCAATGCACAGTAGAAATAAAGCCATGGGTTCAACAGGACTTTGTGAACACACTATATTGAAATCTGAGAGGGTCAAAGAAGTGAGTGAGGAAACCTCATGGCAAAGAGGCTGAAGGGTGGAGCCCATGTCTTCTTAAGGAGATGCTGATGTCTGCATCTTTTTCTATGTGCCAGGGATGGACTAAGAAAGGTGGAGATCTGTTGGGAAATAATATCCCGGGATGCACAATATAATTTCGGACATGATATGTGCATGCAACTGCCAGGATGGTGAAAGGCAAACTGGATGGACCTTGGTCTTCTTTCGTCTAGCAATTCTTATGTTCTTATGAGACCCTGGCTTGGCTCACTGCCAAAGACATGAGACCCAGGCCACATGGATGGCCTCAGGTTGGTTAGCAGTTAGTGCGGAGGATAGCGATTGCACTGTTCCAGGTTTCCCCTCCCCTGAGATTAAACCTGTGTTATAGTGAGCTTCTCCATGTGTGTCCATTTCTTCCTGGCTCAGGGGGTCTGCGCTGCAATACAATTTGGAGTAATTTATGCTTTGTACAAATAATACATCATATCATTAGTACGTAGACATCTAGAGTTTATAAACTAATTATGGATTGTGGACTTTTTCCCTATATTGCCCATTACCCAACTTCTCTTTTATTTCCAACATTGAGAAACTCTGTAAGGAGATGATCAGTTGAGGATCCTCTGAATGGATCATATGAAAGTTAAACTCTGGGGACTATTTTGTGTGTGTGTACATGTCCTGGTTATACATTTTTTGCATCAATGTTGTCATTTATTAATGTGCCTTAAAATGTTGGGTAGTGCTGCAGGGTGTGAAGGAAGAGAAAGGGCCTGGTTTGAGAAATACAGATGTTCCATTCCACTGCAAAAAGAAATTTCTGTTTTAATGAATACCTGAGTATCTATTTAGTAGGTCATATTGGAACTTTTTCCAGGTAATGAGCACTTGTTTGCATCGCAAATTAATTATTCGATCATTCATTATTAATGGTTACTCTGGTTCAATTAAAAGCACTCTTACGTCTGGGTGAAAAATTTGTCAGTTCAAGCTGCATGTTGGGTCTTTGAGATCATGGTCTACACATGTGATGGCCAACCTTTTGGTCGGCGAACAAAATTAATATTCTTCATGGAATACTGTGTGATTTATCACATAAATCAAGAAATAGTCAATCAAAAAAAACTGGAAACACACTATTGCTTTTAAACCTAGACTCGTGTGAATGTTCCGCGGTCCAGAGAATAGGTTGGCCAACACTGGTCTAGGCTTAATGCTTCATTGTAATGTAGTGGGAGCACAGCATTTCAGAGGTGCCATCCTTCAGATGAGATGTTAAGTTGAAGCCTAATCTATATGTTCAGGCAGGTGTTAAAAATCATATGATACTCTTTGAAAAGAGAAGGGAGTTTCACCTGGCGACCTGGCTGACGATCTTCCAGATAAAATTGGGTATTCATTTCATAGATGTTTGTGAACTGTGGTTGTGTGCAAATTGGCTGCTGCTCTCACCTACACATAAAAACACCAGATGTCACAGCAATTACTTGTGAAGCACTTTAGCTGATTTGATGACGTTGGCTACATCAAATGGAAGGATTACTATGATATCATGACAGATTTCGAATAAAAGTGCAACACAATAATAGTTTGAAAGCTTTGCATTGTTTATTATTGTTGGCAACATTTTAAAATGTTCTTTCTACTGGAAAGATTGAGACTGTTGAATCATCCCATGAGCTGATGGATCCAGATATGTTCGGATTTTCATGCTCATCTTTTTCAAAGAATACCACGACCCTTTCCAGTCCATCCACACAATCCCATCGTCTGTGCCATGTTTTGCCATTTCTCTTGTGTATCCCCCACCCCAATAGTATCGGCCATTTGGATTTGCTGAGTGACAGCGGTTATACCACCAGCCACCACCATCCTCTCTTGCACACTGTTTGGTTACATCTCCAGGAATCCTGTTAAAGGTTAAAACAAACAAGTTACCTAATTAGTATTGAAGATAGTCGGATGTAATCATTTACCATCAAATGCCTAATTACACATTACGAATGAAACAAGAGATATTGGAAGGGGGAGGAGGAAGATTCAGTTCAGTGCATTGGAAAACAAGATCAAACAAGACTAGTTTGGATGAAGAATCCATTCTGAAGTTGTCATTCTGAAATTGGCAGAACTTTGGGAAGTGTTACCTACATGAAAAGTGCTATACAAATGTAATTGTTGTTATTGATTTTATCCTTCCAGAATCTCATCCTATCATCCTCACATCATAGCTTTGATGTTTATTTTTAAATGAGTCCAGGGTCCTAGCCTCTACTCCTCCTAGTAACCTGTTATAGTCATTAATTACTCTCTCAGTGAAGAAATACTTCCTGGTGTCTGTCCTCAAATTGCTACCCTGAACCTGCGCCGTTTTGTTCTACTTACTTGGCGCATTCGGAAGTATTGTTCTAGGTTTACATTCTCAATCCAACCTGTGTCCAGGTTTGGCTTAATATAAATTTAAACTGACAACATTTACTAAAATTAAATTTTAATTGAAAAATATATTCAGACAGAAAATATCATCTTTACGCAAGAAAGATCTGAGATTTTTATATAAACTGTTTGCAGAACATAAAGAGGGAAGATTGATCTTCTCAACTTACCAGCCGTCATTGTCTCGGTCAAATGTGCTGAACATCATGTCCTTGTGGATAGTCATGGTTCTATTATAGCCATACAGCGTTTTTGCTCCATCCATCAGCGTATTACCAGCCGTGCCTGAGTAACCATCTACAGTCAGTCGGTATTTGCCAACTTCATTCTGTACTAAAAACTTTCTGTAGCTAGCTGTCACTTTATTGTCTTTCCAGTCACTCATCTCAAAGAGAAGCTCTGAATCTCGCAATTTGGTCAGTCGGCTGATCCGATCGTTTCCGAGCCAATATTCTCCTGTAGAGAAGTTATGCAATGAACAATGCTTGGAAAAAATATTTGATTTGAAGACAGCACATCACTTCTCATTTCCTGATTATGTTTTGTACATTTCAAATTCTAGTTCAATAGATTTCAAAATCTAAATATCCCTCCTGTTAAAGTGAATAAAATTGGTCAGTCATTCCATGGCTGTTTGTGGGACACTGCTGTGCTTAAATTGGCTGTGTTCAACAGACAAAATACATAGACACTCCACTTGACAGTATATCCTGGGAAGTGCTTTGGGATGTTCTCCTGACATGAAAGGATTATTATTACATGTACCAAATGGAAGGATTATTATTATAAGATAATGTTTGAAAACCTGGCATTCATCACTGAATGATGTCTGGAGGGAAAACAAGAAGTAAAACATAAACCATCAATTTGACAATAAACCAAGGACTGCTTGCTGGTCCAGGTACATATTAAAACCCCACATTGAAATTTGAGGAGCAGTGAGTTTTCCAGGCCTACAATCTTTCCCTGCTACAGATCCACTAAAGAAAACCTCAAGATGAATGCTTTCTTCATCCTGTTGTTGTTTGTGGGATATTATTGCTGCAGACGAGGTGCTGTGTGCCCCTTCGCAACAATTTCCAAAGTTACTCATATTTTGAAGTACTTTAAGGTCTTTCTACATCATAAGTTGCTGTATTGAATGTAACAAATGCAAGTTTATTGTCTCTGTCTGTCTATGTATATGGAGTTAAGTGTTCAGATAAGAGTGAACACATGATTGCAATTCTGGTAATAACTGCAGCATTTGAGTGCAGTGAGCTGTGGACGCACTAGACACTCGTAGGACATGGTTTTCCATTTATTTCAGATGAAAGGGAGACGTTTAAAATTGATACAGTCTATCTACTTATGTCAACACATCATGGATCATTTGAGTTTGTCAACATAGAGGGTCACAAGCAGGCAATAGGTGTTCTGTGATTAAAATTTCTGAACCCTGTATTTACATTGATTTATTTTAAAATGTCATACATTTAATTAAAATTCCCGAACCATTTGTTTACATGTGTTTTCATTACCTTATTTCCAAAAATAGTCAAGCAAGCAAAACAAAAGTTCATTAAGAGTACACTGTCGCCATAAGTGGTAATAATAGTAATAATCCTTGCATTTGATATAGCATCTTATCACGTCTTTTAGACATCTCAAAGCGCTTCACACAATCTACTGTAAAGTGAATTGACTGTATGTTTTGTGGGCAAACTCAGCAGCCAATTGTGCACAGTAGTATCCCACAAATAGAAGTGGATTGAGTGACCAAATTATTCTAATAGAACAATGCCTTTAATACAATGCCTTTCATGTCCTCCTGACATGAAAGACACTATACAAATTTAATTTGTTGTTGTTGTTGTTAGGGACCTAACCATTTGTCAAACATAAGTGTGCCAGAGACAGTACGTCAATATAGACAATTAGATTTTAGTGTTAATGTATGGAGTAGGGATCGGGACTTCACTTTTTTGTTGATATAAGTGGGATGTGGACATAAAGGAGTTTGAGATAAGTGGGTAGGACTGTACTCTATTGGGATCAGATTAATGTAGATACTAAGCAAAATAGTAAATAATTAAATTAAATTATTAGCCCTCACAGTGTAAAAGATTCCCTGGTAATACAGCAGGCAATGCTTGTAGCTTTTGAGACATTAAAAAAGCATTATATTCTCCCAAGAAAGTCTGGCTAACTTTCTTTTCTGGGGCGATAGATTAGAGGTGTTTGCCATTTTGATCGCAATTACATGCATCAACTGCAGTGATTTACTTACACATAATAGGTTTAAATTGTGAGATTTACAAAAGGCTTGGTAAATGGGATTTATCATGACTGACACTCTGCATCTTCACCCAGATGACAATTTCATGGAACTTGGAACTAACCATTCTGTAGTCAAATTATAATCACTTTACAGATTTCCATTCATGTGAACCCTACAATTGTATGAGGCGCCATCTAACCCTTTCCTTTTATTTACAACTCCACTATCTCCCCATCTCCCAGTGGATCAAACTCAAGATCCTCATCCTCGCATTCAAATCCCCCCATGGGCCACAACCTTCCCTACCTCAGTGTCCACCTGCAAAATTTCTGCCCCAATCGCTCACCCCACTCAGTGAATGTCACTCACCTCAATCCGACCCACCATTGACCTGTGGAACCCCTTCACCTTGTCGCTTCCCACCCACCTTCAAGGTCCGCCTTAATATCTATCATTTCAACAGCACTTTGGGTCACCTTTTCCTTTCCCTCTCCCCCGATCTCCCCCCACCCCAGCCCCCACCACCATTGTCCTCAGCTCTCCTCCCTCTGGACACCTTGGGCATCCAGTCAATTTTGTGACATTCTTCCAACACAAAAGGTACAATTTAAACATAAATCTTTCTTGTTGTGGGGCTATCTCTTTTTAAAACCCCTTGTAGTCAATTGTCCACTGCACTGCTGTACACTTTTGACTGGAACTAAAACCAGGTTTTCTGGAGAGCTCCTGAATTCTCACCTGGGGTATCGCAATAACCTTTTCCCACATCGAATGCAATGTTTCCAAATCCTTTTTTGTAGTCGTCCCAGGTCCGCCCAAAGTCCACACTGCCATCCTTTCGATTTTGAATTAGTGTCCATCCTGGAAAACGTGAATTGTTTCAAGAATGTTAAAACGATACAAAGCTTCTGTGCATGAACAAAGCCACATGTTGCACTGCACGGAAGAGTAAAAATTCCTACCTCCCATGTCTGTTGTCATGTCACAGAACACTTTGTAGGGTTGGGAGGAATCTGGCTGGATTAAGTAGAGTTGGGATGTGTCACCGCCCTTACTGCGAATTTCATCACAGTCTAGGAAAGATCCAACAGTGAGTGTTTGAATCTTGAATTGGGAACATTGCTCATTTTACTGAAATTTTTTTTAAAAACAGATACTTAATGTTAAAAAAATTGTCTGGCTAGTTTACCTTTTCCTGATATTGCTGGTATGTTACAGGAAACTACGCATGGATCTTTGCAGTAACCTTTCTGAGTCTCCAATGCTCGTTCAAGCTTCAGCAGCTTTTCTTTGAAGCTGTCCACAATGGAGCGCATCATACGGATGGTGGAGGGAAGACTCCTGTCCATGGTGTCCTTTATCAGGATAAAACGCTCCTCCAACTCTGTACTATATGATTCCACTACATAATTGTTACCTGTGAAGGAGATGTTGCATATTCACAAGAGATGACATGTTTTTCGCCTGGAGCAATTGATTTCAGAGTAATGTGCCCAATAATTCTGACATGTGACACTGTCCATTTGAAAACATAAAGCATCTGATCTTTTTTAGATTGCATTTGAAAATGATCACCCCAAATACAAACATAACGGAATGGGAGATTCTTCCCCTGATGCTCTAAGGAATAAGTATTATAAACTGGGCAAATTATGTACTTACAAAGAAACAAGAATGCTGTACCTGTGTATTGTGAACGTCTCCGTTCCAGCTCCTTGTCCATCTTTTCCACATAATACTGAATCGAGTGACTCGAGCGACTAAGACTTGAAACATTGCTTTGCAAACTTGTAATGACTGGTTTAATATCGCGTTCCTGCTTCAGGAGGTCAGTTCTCAATACACAACCAGTAGGGCACATTACACACTTGAACAGAAGGTTGATGAATAAAAACAAATCAATTTGATAAGTGAGTAACATTTGCGAAAATGTATTTTCATTCAGAATAATATAGTAGAGGCGATTGACTGGCTCCATTGCAGATCAACAAACAATGCAGGTAGTTGCACATCATGCAAAATATAAATTGGCTACAGAGCTAAATAAAACATTGTTCCATTATGAATTATACTGTCACTGTTGTACTAGATTGTGCCAGCCCTTCTATCTCTCTCCAAGTCTCTTCGTTCTCTGTCTCTCAGTGGGGTGGGGTTGCAGATGCTTGAGCAGAGGAAACCCCTAGTTGTAGGTGCTTTGTTATTCTGCATTGTACAATTTGCACATGTCTGTGCACAGTGACATTGTATCAACACAGCATAGAGCATGTAACAGCAATGCTACAGTTGTGTTTGTCTTTTACCAGTGCAGCACAATACTGAAAATGGGCACATGTACATCTGTGCTGACAATCTTTAAACTTATGCTCAGTAAACTTGTTTATAGCTATCTCCATCTAAACACGACTTGCATTTATGTAGCGCTCTTTACATAGGACAACTTCTTGGGACAATATACACTTATATCAGACCTGGCTTTCTTAACTAACACTTCCCCTCACACCCAAGACCATTCTCACAGAAGTTTGGTTGTGTTTCTACTGAATTATCACATCACTCCCTCATTACTCCCATGTTAGAAAGTTACTATTTCCCATTCCACATTGTTGCAGATTGTTCTCACCAGTTCACTGCTGAGATGCATGCATCCTCCTTGATCAGACACCTCAATTTCATCAGATATTTTGGCCTGTTTTTCTGGAACTGGGAGCAGGCTTGAAGTTCTTTTTCTTGCAACATCGTATGTTGGCCTACCCGCTGGCTTTGGCAAACTTGGCAATGGCCTGTCTCCATGACCAGACGTTGGTCTGTGTCCACGAGGATCAATTACTGGGTACACTTCACCTTCCTGTGTGGGATAAACAACAGAACATTCAGTACAGCCAGCAACTATAAATTGTAAATGATCCCTCAAAAAAAATTGAGGGTCACTCAATCCACGATTATTTGTGGGTCACTTCTATACGCAGTTGGCTGCCGTATTTCGCCCACTACACTGTACTGTATATTCTGTGAAGTCCTTTGAGACATCTCAACAATGTAATAAGGCACTATATCAAATGCAAGTATTATTATTAAATAATTAATTATTCATTATTATTTAAGAGAATTTACAATTTCTTTCAGCAGTGAATAAAATAAACAAAAATAATAATCCTTGCATTTGATATAGCGTTTTTAAACGTCCCAAAGCGCTTCACAGAATATACTGTAAAGTGAATTGACTGTATATTTGTAGGCCAATTGCGCACAGCAGTGTCCCACAAACAGATGTGGATTGAAGTGACCAATTTATTATGGGTTTTTTTCTTGAGGGTATATTATCAGGTGTGTGGAGTAAGGAAACTTGCCCAAGGTTTCACGCTGCTGGGAATTGAACCCAAGTCTCTCGCTTGTTAGGTGAATGCTCTTACCACTGAGTTACAGGACTCCCTTAGGAGAATATTAGAAGATTCATGGCTGTAAGAGGAAGCTGAAGAAAATAACTATTTTCTGGGTGCAATTTATACCCTTATTAATAGAGTAATGTTTAAACAAAACCTTTGTAGATATCAAAATATATGTATGTAGTTTGAAATCAGGGACCGAAAATTCCTGAAGTTCTTAAGATTGAGATTATTGCATTATCTGTTTCAGAGGTTCAATGGAAGCATTATTAGAAAATAACTTCAAATGAGAGCTTGACACATGCAAAGTGATTTCCTTGAGTATTGAGATTCCCATGTAGAAAAGAAAGAAAATTAGTCAGAAGATATAAACTTTTGGACTTCAAAGGAAAAGAAACACTGGACCGTAAGCCTTCTCATATACAATGTATCCGCCACAAGAAAACATGCACAGTCATGCCACTCACCATCCCACCATGATATTCTAAATCTTCGTCATAATCAGTTAGACTGTCAAGGTCCACCGAACTAACATCAGACATTTGAGCTGCTGTGATGCACAGAAGTAGGAAGAATACTTTCATGTTGCTGAAGTGGTAGCTCTATTGATCTACTACCTCTACTTACTTGTCCCTTCTCACAAACTCTCCCTCTGGCCTTTGCAGTTCCTTTTATATCTTTGGTTCAGCATCAGTACTGGGGCCAGAGGAGGTTGGATCAAATGACTGATCAGTGTTTAGAATCTGGTTAATATTTGAAACAGGAGGATTTTTTTCAGGTTGGTGACTGGCAAACTCCTATTGTAACCCTGGCCATTTTAGTACAGATGCAACAAGAAAGATTAGTTGCTGATTGAGGAAATAGTACAAAATCATAAAGTGATAAATACTTACAGGTCAACACAGAAGAAGGCCATTCGGCCAGTTGTGTCTATGCGGGTTCTTTTTAAAAGAGCAATCTTTTCAATCCCTGTATTTTCCCCATACCCTTGTAGTTTACTCCTTTTTAGATATCTATCTAGTTCCCTTCTGAAGTCTGTCTAGTTCGTCTTCTGTCGTGCAGCTCTGACCTCCTCAACCTTCCCAGCATATCCCTTAGACTCAATAAACTGGTGCACACCCTAGACATCAATTTCGACCCACAGCTATTCTTCCTATAGTACATTCAGTTGAAGGGGAAGGTCTTAAGCGTGTTTTGAAAGTGGGGAAGGAGGGGTAAGGCAGAGGGATTGAGGGAAAGTTTTGGGGTGTAGTAGCAGAAAGCACGGCTACTGATGGTGGAACAGAGGGAACAAAGGACAAGCAGGAGGCTAGAGTCAGCAAAGCGGAGGTGGCGAGTGATGATGTGGGAAGAAAATAGGTCAGAGGCATAGGGAGGTGCCAGGGTGTGAAGGGATTTGTAGACAAGTGCAAGGATCTTGAAGTCAATCCATTTTCTGATAGGGAGCAAGTGAAGCCTGGTGAGGACTAGTGTGACAGAAGTTCGGAGTTTAGAGCTATACTAATATTAATTTTTAATAATATTCATAAAGAACTCAAGGAGTCGCACTGAACTTACCGCCTGGGGAAAGTTCCTGGTAATACCTGTCTGTCTAGAGAAATGAGTCTCGCACTTGTCAGCTGCCTGATAACCAAGATGTGACTTTTCTCCTTGGGGAAATTCCATATTGAAACACTTGGTGAAGAGAAATTGTGTTGAGGCTCTTTGTGGTGGATTCAACAATCCAGCACCCTGAGCCTGGCAGTTCTCCAGGGCTCTGTTGGTATTTAACTATCCTGATAGGCTTAATGTAACTTGAAGAGGTAGACATATAATTGGGAGAGTATCCTGAACAAAGAGAAGTTTCTTCCAGTGTCATTAGCAAATATCTCCCTCCGAAATAAAATTGGTCATTCACTTCAAAATGGTTTTAGGACATTGCTGTGTGCAAATAGTAACCAGGATGAGACATAGGATTATGTATAGGATTAGTCATAGAATTAGTCATAGGATAACATAAATAGGATTGGGCATAAAATTAGATATAGGATTAGGCTTGAAGTTAAGCCGAAAAGGGTAATTTGCAGGAGTAATGGGGAGAAGGTGGATAAATGGGACTGAACAGATTGCTCTTTCAAAGAGCAAGTAAAGACATGATGGACGAAAGGCCTTTTCTGCTGAAATGTTCTATGGTTTTATAGTACAATAAAATATCTTTATGGACTTCATGGGCTTTGCATTCAAATGGTCCCGGAGACTTTGGGCCTGCCAATAGATGATCCTTGCATTGGATCTTTTAATACAACAGAAAAACAATTTTGTTAAACCTTTTTTATTGGTATTCCAAGAAGACAAATTACTTTGAGGTTTAAAGCACAGATCGTCAAAAGTGGCACAACTAGTATAAGGCAGTAAAGTGTCTTATACATCATAGACTGTGCCTCTGATCATCTCCCCCTTCTTGCTTTCTCAGCCTCCAAACCCTCTACTGTACAGTGCTCCAAGACTCCATCCTGCATGAAAAGTTAAATTAATGCAAGTTGTTGTAATTTAATTGGGGACTAATTATGTTTTGTTGTGTATTTGTACAATGACTATTAGTTTCCACAATATAGTGTTACCAATTTTAGGTTCTGAAGGTGGGGCATTCCATGCACGTTACCAGCTCCACGTGTGCGTGTAGGCATTGTGGGATAACTATTGTAATTGACTTGCAGCTGAGCCTGACCTTGTTTTCCTATGTTCACATACAAGTACTTTCCAGGAGGACTCAACAGATAGTGATCAGGATTAGGAACCCTGGATCATTTTCCCCATCCTAGCCAAGAGGTACTGCACTTTAATGTGCACTGCTCAGTCACTGCACTTTACAGGATATGCAGTAAAGTGCAGTGACTGAGCAGTGCACATCATTAGTATTATTATTATAGAGAAACTACAGCCAATTATAGTGCTCCACACAGACTCGGGAATCAAATCTGAAACCTGGTCTGTGTGACCTTCTGCTGCACTGGTGACTGTGTCGTCCCCCACTAAACCTCTTACAGCCAACAACACTCTCCCAAATAAAATTGGTGACTCACTCTATGGCTGTTTGTGGGACATTGCTGTGCGCTAACTGTCTGATGTGTTTTGCCCATAAAATATACAGTCAATCTTTCATCAAGTCCTGGCATGACTACGCCAACTGCCTGCTCACCGGACTTCCCAACTCTTCCCTCCACAAGCTGCAGATTACTCAAAACTCTGCAACTTGTGTTCTCTCCCACAGTCGACTCCGTGAACCAATCACAACCATTCTTGCCTGTCTTCACTGGCTCCCCATCCCTCATAGAATCATGTACAAAACACTCATTACCACCTTCAAAGCTCTCCATGGTCTTGCTCCCCCTACTTCTCCGACCTCCTAATCCCAAATCAGCCTATCTACGCCCGGACACTGGCCTGCTTCAGGTCCCCCGCACTTACCGCCCACCATTGGTGGTTGGGCATTCAGCAGCTCTACCCCCACACTCAGGAACTCTATCCCACAATTCCTCCACCTCACCCCTTCTCTTTCCTCCTTCTAAAGACCTTCCTTTTTGACCATGCCTTTGGCCACCTTTCCAACCACACACCCATTGCCCTCCACCCCTTCTGATCCCAACTCTTAGCTTGGATTCAAAAAACTCTTACTGTCTAGCACCCTGAGATGTTTTTCCAAAGTGAAGGGCATTATACAAGTGTAATTTGTCATTGCTATTGTTGTTATTAGATTAAATGTAAAACTAACATTGCCATATAATACATGGAATACATTGATGAAACCAACAGGACTATCAATATTTGACAGTGACATTTCCAAACATTTCTATTTCACAAGGCAGTACTTCAACAGAAACTAATCAATAAACCACCACATCAGTAAATATGTCTCATCATGTCCCCAGGGCCATATTGAGCAAGAATAATAAACCAAACTAAAATCACTATGTTTACTTGGACAGCAGTACAATGTCCTCTTTTTTTACAAAGGTGGTTGAATTTATCTCTTTAAAGGTTAACTTTGCTATCGCAGATCCTTGTTCTACTTGCAACAGCAACATTTAGTTAGCTGATCAATAAAGGTCAATTGGTCAATGGAGGTGCATCCTAGGAATCACTGTTTGACATGTTAGTCCCTGTCTACAAAATATGTACAAAATACATTTACCACATCCTGTGAAGCATTTTGAGACGTCCTTCAGATGTTTTATCATTATGATTGAAGTATCATGCATATTTCTTATCATTAAACAAAAGGATTGTACTCTTTTTAACATCACAAAAATGATTAGAAAATATTGTACAATATCAAGGAGGAAATGTGCCTTTGTATCATTGTTTTAAGGTTATGAAACAGGGCCAGTCAATAGTAACATAGATCAAAGTACCATATATCTCAGCACAGTGAACATTGCAGTTTTAAACTCTGATCTTTGAGGTACCACTGATATACATTGAGGTACCACTGATGAGGTACATTGATAAAACCAGCAGTGAATAGGTCTCTAATTGTTAGCTCATTTACTGAAATGATGCTCTGTCCTTGGGACACTACCAAGAACCTTTCTGAAGCTCACACCATCACCAGCCTTGGCATTTGGTTCAATCTGAGTTATTTTTCCTTCTTTATATCCAGTCGTTCGTGGAGTCCTGCAGCTTAGTGTGACCTTGTTGCTCAGTGGTTACAACACTCGCCTCTCAAACGAGTTTTTGAATGAGGTGGAACATGTGAATGGTGGAACTAGGAAGACTGTAGAGAGTCAGGAGATAACAAAGACGTGAAATGAGAATTTTGGCAGCATTTTGTGTGAGATAGGGAGGAAGGCGAGCAATGTGGCGAAGATGAAGTAAAGCCGTCTTGGTCAGGAATGATTGTGAGGATAGGAGGAGAGCCAAGAATCAAACTGAACCCCAATCTTGTGCATTGGTTCAGTAAGTGTCAGAGCAAAGCCAGGGAAGTCAGAGGCGGAGGCCAAAGGTGGAAATGAGGAGATGTTGGTGGGAGCCTTATCTATGATTCCACAACTAATTTGACCAGTATTTTAATAAACAATAGATCACAGTCTGCATACTAAGCTGGTTTAGGTATTTTTACCCTGTCATTTTTTCCTCCCCAGCTTCTCCTCAAACCCTCGATTTATGGGGTAAAATTAATAATAATAATCCTTACATTTTATATAGCATCTTATTACATCATTGAGACATCTGAAAGGGCTTCACGGAATATATTGTAAAGTGGATTGACTGTGTATTTTGTGGGTGAAGTGCGGTATTCTGTGAATGAGTGGCCAAATTTTTTTTAGGAATTATTATCCCTGGAAAGTGATCCGTCAATCGACTAACAAGCAGGATCCTACTTACTGCTAGGTAAACACGAGGCGTGTGGAGTAAGGAAACTTGCCTAAGGTTTCACCGCATCGGGAATCAACCTGGGTCCTCTCACTTGCAAGGCAAGTGCTCTAACCACTATGCTATGGGACTCCACATACAAGTTGCACAGGCATCAGCCACTGGGGGTAAGCCTATAAATTCTCAACAGGCTTGTTGTAATTCCTGTTGCTTGCTTGGTTTTGTCTCCTATTTTACAATGGGAGCAGAGTAAAAAAAAAGTATTTTTAACTTTTCAGTAAACGGGTAACGAATCATTTTAGTCCATTACTGAAAATTAGTGACTCATATACAATTACCTAGAAAATGTGCGTCAGGGCTAGTTGACTATGGAGGTATCACTGCTGAGCTAATGCTGCCTTGTCTGCCATTCACACACATGGACTTTCCATGAAGATTGGAAACACTGGCTGATTGTTTCCTCCTGTTTGCTGAGGCCAACTAATAGAGCCCCCTAGAGCCTGTCTGTTTGCCATCAGCTAATTCAGCATAGATGCAATTGAATCAGGAACCTTTCAGTATTGATCAATTTCAAACTGATTAGTGGCTTTTACCAATGGTGCCATTAAATGAGTCCAGCACAATTCCCTTTAGTCTATGATTAGAATTGATATTTCCACTTCTGCTCATTGCATAATAATTTGGTTCAGTTGAAACATTTAGATGTTGGTCTTCCATTCTGAGCATACCGCAAAGTAAATTTGGGTGTCATCCAGTCTCAGTTGGTAGCACTCTTATCTCTGAATCAGAAGTTTATGGGTTAAACCCCACATTGGAACTTTGAATCAAGTCCAGACTGTAAAGTAAATTGACAGTGCATTTTGTGGGCAAAACCGGCAGCCAATTGCGCACAGCAATGTCCCACAAACAGTCGTGGATTGAGTGGCCAAATTATTATTATTATTTTTGCATTAGTTGCGTCTTCTGGTTTACGAACATCGAACTGCAAGATATGCAGCAAAAATTGCAGCCAGTGAATTGTGAATTCCAATTATGGAAAAGACCAAAATACACCCAAGGTTTCTTCTTCAGTAAAAGTGCAACCATGAAGTTTCAACTTTTTTTAGGACTGAGGTAAACTTATCAGAAAGTGTTTATCCAAAACTTTTACCCGCTTCAACATCTACCTACCCTCAAGCATTAAATTAATTATGCACTAAGAACAATGTCCTACAAATTGGCATGAAGTGAATGATCAATTTTATCCAGGGGATTATTGTCCTTTCTAACATGTAGGGTGGTCCTAGCTGGACAAGCAGTGGGAAAGCTTGCCGGATAGCAATATCAATTGCAAGCTGTGCAGTTTTAGCTGGTTAGACTCCAGCAGGACCCCAACACGCACTCCGGGGTCCCCAAGCCTTGGCTCTCGCCAACCTGCACCTCATACTCTTCGGAATTAGATAAGCAGGATGTGTCCCTCTAGAGGGAGAGTGTGCATTCCATTCCAACAATCTATCTCTGGGATTTCCATGTGTAGGTGGGATGCATGGAATTCTCAGCTTGGTTTGGATACTCTTAAACATGTGGATGGGTTTCCTCATGTGTCAAACACTCAGCTGACCAAAAAAAATGGATACTGGGAGAAACTCACTTCTCATTTTGAATAGTGCCATAGGGATATTTAACATTCACCTGAACAGGCAGATGAGTTTCTTCCAGTACTAATGAACAATCCTCCAGATATAATCGGTCATTCATGGCTATTTATTAATAACAATCCTTACATTTGATATAACACTTTTCACGTCTTCTGAACGTCTCAAAGCACTTCACAGAAGATACTGTAAAGTGAATTGACCGTATATTTTGTGGGCAAAACGCAACTGCCAATTGCGCACAGCAGAGTCCCACAAATAGTCGTGGATTGAGTGACCAAATTATTATTAGGGTTTTTTCTTGAGGGAATATTATCAGGCGTGTGGAGTAAGGAAACTTTCCCAAGTTTTGCCCTGCCAAGAAGCAAACCCAGGTCTCTCGTTGCACTACAGGACTATTTATCAATGATTTGCAAAAATGAGCTGTTTCTGTAAATACACAGTCACTACACTTTATAGTATATCCTATGAAATAGATTTGATGGTTCAACACTACAGGCACTATATCAAACACAAGGATTATTATTTTAGTTAGTAAGTTGCTATTAAACCAACTTAAAGGTTATATTTGTAATTATTAACAATTTTCGGTTGACTCTAGATACATTTCCCCAATACTTGTATTATATAATTACTAATTAAAGATATATTTGATTTTTTATGGATTCTGTAATGTTCCATTTGTCAATATTTAACAAAATAATAATTTAATACAGTGCATTTAATACAATTCCTTTCAAAGTGCTTCACAGGATTTATTATAAGGTATAGTGACTATATAGTCTGTAGGCGAACAAAAGTTTAACTTGTCCATTTTTACTCAAAACCCTTTCATTTGATGAAGACAGTATTGATCTTTTTATTTAGCAAAGAGAACACAAGGTCACAAGTTTCTTAGTCAAACTGAAACACACTGTTCAACAAATATTTTCCAAGCAAATATGTTACAGATACAGGGGCTTATTAGGATACATCTTATGGGAATTTGTTGAAAACTAATTAATGACTGAGGGAAAATATTTGTAAATAATCCTTGTATTCAATAAAGTGTCTTTCAAAGTACTTCACAGGCTTTCCTTTAAAGTGTAATGACTATATACTTGTAGGTGAACAAGTTAGTCAATTTGTATACCGCAATGTTGAGATTCAAATTGGACCCAACAGCAATAAACTGAGCCTTCATAATAATCTTTGCATTTGACACAGTGCCTTATCACATCATCTTAGTAATTCCTTCAAAAGTAAATAAAAATAATTTGGTCACTCAATCCACGACTGTTTGGGGGACACTGCTATGTGCAATTGGCTGTTGCGTTTCACCCACAAAATATACAATCAATTCACTTAACAGTATATTCTGTAAAGCGTTTTGAGACATCTTGAAGATGTGATAAGGCGCTATATCAAATGCAAGGATTATTATTATTAATGAGACTTGGAGATAATAATAATAATCCTTGCATTTGATATAGCGCTTTTCACGTCGGGAGGACGTCCCAAAGCGCTTCACAGAACACACTGTAAAGTGAATTGACTGTATATTTGTGGGCGAACGCGGCAGCCAATTGCGCACAGCAATGTCCCACAAACAGTCGTAGATTGAAAATGACCAATTTATTATTGTTTTTGGTTTTGGAGGGATTATTATTAGGCGTGTGGAGTGAGGAAACTTGCCCAAGGTGTGGATGTGGATGCTCAACCTTGGCATTCACAGTCCTAGTGCGGTAGGACAATTCTACATGGACTAAATCATCCATTTTTTTCCCATCCCAGAGAGCTGACCACATCATTTGGAGTGGAGCAATCCTGTTTTGCACATGACATGCTTGTGCAGGAGTTTGGAAAAGCTTTGAGACCTTGGATGTGTCAGCAGACATACTGGAAAGGTCACAGATACGAGGGATAAATTGTGTAAGCAATGGGTGGTAAATAATTGACAAGTTCTGCGTAAACAGGACACTCCCTCCCCCCCTCCCCTCTCCCACACACATACACACACTAACTGACATCACAGATCTTGTTGAGATTCAAATTGGATGAAAGGGAGACAGGAGAGACATCTCCTTCAGGTCTACTGAGCAATAGGAAAGATGAGATCGGCTCTGGTGCTGGGGTTGTTAGTATGCTGCACGCTTCTACACTGGGTGGGTTTCCCTTCTTGCTCTGCACACTGCCGAAAGGCGGATTTCACTCATTTACTTTGACCAGCACAGAAAAGACACAGTTAAACACCAATCGTATTTCTTTGGTACCACTTAGAAACAAACGATCAAGGCTTTGAGTGAGTGAAACGTGTATCAGATCTTCCTTACGAACCTTGTTTGATTCAGTAAAAATCTTAGATAGAAATAGACATTTGATCTGCAAAGACGAACCTTACTTTTGATGTTTTCTCTCAGTCAGAATCCCAGCTGACAGCTCGAGGAGCCCGCCCTACACAAGCCAAAGATCGCAGTAGATCTACTAAACTGGGATGCTCAGATGAGAGTGGCTTCTCTTTGTGCTCTGATGAGGACTGGGTAGGTGGCATTTAGATCTCGGTTTGCGAGATCAATAATAATTACTTGAATTTCATATAGCACTTTATCATTTCTTCGAGGAGAATATACTGTGAAGTGAATTGATTCTATTTTTTGTGTCTGAAACTACTTTTTATATCATTCATTCAATGTCATGCATTGAATGAATGACATGTTGCAAAGCAATTTTTTAAAAAAAATCTGAATTACTTGGCACAGGGTCCGAAATGCCCATCCGGATGCCGAATCCAAGGGCTGATGGACCATGAAGATCGCAAAACGGCTGACAGAGTAAGGAAGATTCGACAGATGTTGGACGACTACTCAAAAATATATGGATCTACCCATGTGAGCGTCACCGATGCGGCCAGAAGAATCAGGGAAACTCTGAACGAAGTGGGAGGTGAGAGTTTCCTCTACTGCCCGTCCATTTCATAACGTTGTTTGAATAATAATCCTTGAATTTGATATAATGCCCAATCACTCATTGAGATGTCTCAAATTGCTTCAGAGAATATACTGAAAAGAGGATTGATTGTCTATTTTGTGGGTGAAAAGCGGCAGACAATTACACATAGCAGTATCCCACAAACAGTTGTGGATTGAGTGACCAGATTTTTTTGAGGGATGATTACCCCGGAAAGCTAACCAATCAACTAACAACCGGTTTTCTACTTACTACTAGGTAAACAGAGGCGTGTGGAGTAGGGAAACTTGTGTAAGGTTTCACCCTGCCCGGGATTCAAAACGTTTCTAATCGAATTATTGTCTTTTTCTGCACCTTTAGACTCTGGTACTACCTACTATCAGCTGGTGGATTCACTCAAGACCCGACTTCTCAGCTTGCAGGAGAGAATCAATCGTCAAACCACCAAAATACAATCTCTGAAAAGAGGTATATTCGAACAATTCAAAGAAATCACCCGACTGGAGGTAAATGACAAGGTTTTTTTGTTGAAATTTGAGAATACTTTTACTCATGTTTTTTTTCCCCCTGAAAGAACAGTATTACTATGGGAACAGCTGTTAAAATGGTATTTGTTTCTTTATCGTGAGGGTTATGAACTGAGTACATTTGTGAACAGCAGCAGATTTACAGCAGGGACTCTGTTATGTGTGGAAACCCATTACCATGCTTAAGCATAGCCAAACCAGTCTGAGAGGACTTGTACACACCACTAACACGTAAAAATGCCCCTTATGGAATGCAAACTCTCTCTGTGTAGGGACTCACTCTCTTTACCTAAATCTAGAGAGTATTAGGCACAGGTTGGCAAGAAATCTACAAACCCAGAGTGTGTATTGGGGCACGTTTTGTAATTTAACCAGTTAAAACAGCATAACCTGCCACAAAACATACAGTCACTGCACTTTACAGTGTATCTTGTGAAGCGCTATGAGATGTCCTCCCAATGTGAAAAGTGTTAAATCAATGAAAGGATCATTATTATAACTATATAACAAGCTTCCCACTGCTTGTCCAGCTAGAACCACTTTACCCATTAGTGCTGCAGAATTAACAGGAGCTGAGTGAGAAGAATTACTGCCCCCGGTGACTAGTCTGTCCGTTCAAGTCCAGCTGATGAGCCAGGCTGGCCGGTCTATAATAATAATCCTTGTATTTGATAGAATTCCTTATCACGTCTTCGAGATGTCTCAAAGCGCTTCATAGGATATACTGTAAAGTGAATTGACTGTAAATTTTGTGGTGTCCATGACTCCTCTTTTGAATGGCTCTGTCCTTGGCCAGGGGTGGGGTGGGGGGAAGGGAGGTCATCCCTGAACAAACTGTATAGTGCTGCAGTATAAATTGAGACAAACATGATATTTCACCTCATTTTTTTTCTATTAACAATGACTGTTTTCTTCTGTTTTCCTGTTAGGTTGACATTGACATCAAGATACGATCCTGCAAAGGATCTTGTGCCAAGTCCTTTGCCTACAGCATCAGCGGGGAGAGTGACGCCCAATTGGACAAAAAACTCGGATCATTACATAGCATGTCAGTCGACAGGATTGAATACTCAAAGCCAACGCACGTGTTCAAAATGAGGAGTTTGAAGGAATCTGATCCAGACTCTCTTCATAAATCTGGAATGACTGACAGTAGATATCCTGAATTCTGGGCTGAAAGAGATTTCCAAATATTTTCCCTAGAAGAAACTCCTAAAGGTGGAAGTGAGGCTTCCATTCATAGTGCAACCTCCACACCCATAAGAGGTGGGGCATCTACCTCTGGTACAGACTACTTACACACAAGAGATAGGGTTTCTACCTCTGATACAGGTTACTTTCCCACAAAAGGTGGGGCTTCTACCTCTGGTACAAGCTACTCAACCACAGGAGGTGGGGCTTCTACCTCTGGTACAGACTACTTACACACAAGAGATAGAGTTTCTACCTCTGATACAGGTTACTTTCCCACAAAAGATAGGGGTTCTACCTTTAGTACAAGCTTCTCAACCACAGGAGGTGGGGCTTCTACCTCTGGTACAGACTACTTACACACAAGAGATAGAGTTTCTACCTCTGATACAGGTTACTTACCCACAAGAGATGGGACTTCTACCTCTGGTACAAGCTACTCAACCACAAGAGGTGGGGCTTCCACCTCTGGTACAGACTACTTACACACAAGAGATAGGGTTTCTACCTCTGATACAGGTTACTTTCCCACAAAAGATAGGGGTTCTACCTTTGGTACAAGCTTCTCAACCACAGGAGGTGGGGCTTCTACCTCTGGTACAGACTACTTACACACAAGAGATAGAGTTTCTACCTCTGATACAGGAGGTTACTTACCCACAAGAGATGGGACTTCTACCTCTGGTACAAGCTACTCAACCACAAGAGGTGGGGCTTCCACCTCTGGTACAGACTACTTACACACAAGAGATAGGGTTTCTACCTCTGATACAGGTCACTTACCCACAAGAGATGGGACTTCTACCTCTGGTACAAGCTACTCAACCACAGGAGGTGGGGCTTCCACCTCTGGTACAGACTACTTACACACAAGAGATAGGGTTTCTACCTCTGATACAGGTTACTTTCCCAAAAGAGGTGGGGCTTCTACCTCTGGTACAAGCTACTCAACCAAAACAGATGGATCGTTTCATCATCAGGCAGGCTCCACAACCTCATTAGGTGGTGGACTGGTGGGTAGTAGCAGGGGTGTTGCTGGGACACCTGAACCTTTTTCAGATCACAGTTATTTTCACACTGTTGATCGGAAACAGACAAGTGGCATAGTAATTGGGGACGGTGGTAGGGAAGAAAGCAGAGTTGCACATGGTCTTGGAGAGGGTACAGGAGGCAGAGGTGATATTGATGATACACGGTTCCACACAACACATGGTTCCAGAACCTACACAAAAACAACTGTTACAAAAAATGGCAAAACCACTGAAAGAGTCACAATGACAAGCGGCTCAGATGGTTTTCCTGAAATTTCGGAATTTCCGGAATTTATGGGCTCACATTTTGACAGACTTAGATTACAATCTGGGACAGAACCTGGGACCACAGGTATGGGGTCCAGGAGGCTTACAACAGTAACAGGAACTAAAACAGGTAAAGGTGGAAGTACACGTGATTTTAGTGCTTTAACATCCTCAGGCACCAAAACAGGCAAACACTCTATTGTTACTGAAAGTCATGCAGTGAGAGGCACAGATGATTTCGATCCCTTTGCAAGGTTCGAAGAATTCAGGGATTTTCATACTTTTGATCCGAGACAGCCACTACCTGACGCCGGTGGTAGTGTAAGCGATGGAGATAGTTCAGTTGTTGGAAGTCGTACAACACATTCAGTATCCTGGTCCACCCAAGGAGGTGACTCTCCAGATCAACAATCAATTCAAAGAAGGTTAAAAAGTGCCATGCAACGCATGTCTATGGATGAAAGAGGAGAAGATATTCCTGACCGGAAAGGTCACATCTAATAGAAATAACAAGATATAGCATGAAAGCTACATTGGGAAAGGTAAGTCGATTAAGTATGCTTTGAGACTGCTTTTTTTTAATGTGCAGGGTAGGCCACTCTTTTGGCTGCTGAGGGACAGATGAAATGGGTTGGAAGGAAGGGGGGGGGGGGGGTGAAATCGGCCCTTGGGCCTCCAGTTGGATCACGCTATTGTACAGAATGAGGTAAGAAACAAAAAACCTTGTAGACCATCCAAACTATTGAAAAAAATATACATATTAATATCTGTAAAGCCCCTCAACCAATTTCTTTAACATATGACTATCTAATTCCCGCTTGAATTTTATGGCCCAATCTGCCTCCATCAGTAGTGCCTTATATATATTCACCACGGTCTCTCTGTGTAATTCAATCAAAGTTTCTTTTGTGCTTGATTGCTGACTGTTTGTGGTAGAGTTTATGACCATTTTCAACATATGATTGGGATTTTAAGTTCAGAGCCTAGGCTGAAACTCCAATACAGTGTTGAAGCATTGTCAGAAGTCTACAAAATACACATCAGAGTAAATCCTATGAAACATTTTGAGACATCCTCCCTATATCACGTGCAAAGATTTATTAAGTGTCATTCTTCAGATGAGATATGAAACTGAGGTTCCGACTACCTGTTGAGCTATACATTAAAGATCCAATGGTACTATTCAAAAAGAAAAGGGGTTTTCCTCAGTATCCTCGCCAAGAATCCTCCAGATAAAAATTGGTCATTCACTTCATGGTTGTGTCCTGTAAGCAAATTGGCTGTGATGTTTGCTCTCCAAATAGACAGTCACTATACAATAAATCCTATATTGCGCTTTTTGATGTTAAGTTGATGTGAGAAGGCACTAGATCAAATACAAGGATCATTATTATTAGAGTTCAATTTACGATTTTGAATTCATCAAAAAGGATTCACTTGAGCCTTATCTTCACAGATGTGTACATTCTCAGCTTGTTTAGTCTCTCCTCATATCTCCACCTACAATTCCGACCATAAATATAATTGCTCTTCACTGTACCCTTTCCAATACCGAGATGTCCTTATTGTAATATAATGGCCAAATTTGGATAATCCAGATGGGGATGAACCAGTGATCGATCCTTGTTCAGTATCATCTCCTGTGATTTACAACAACAATAAAATTACATTTGCATAGTGCCTTTCACGTTGGGAGGATGTCCCAAGGTGCTGGACAGTCAGTGTTTTGGACCAGAGCTGGGGGCGGGATTGGGGAGGATAGAGGGCAGGGGGAAAGCAGGGTGATCCAAAACATGATCAAACAGGAAGGTCTTGAGATGGGTCTTAAAGGAACTTATGCTCTATTCCTCTGGGTAACTCTTCAGGATTGGACAGAATAGGACTTTTTCCACTGGAGTAGAGTAGATTGAAGGGTGATGTGGTAGAGATGATTAAGATAATGAAATGATTTGAGAGGATAAATTGTGAAGAACTGTTTCTGCTGGTAGATGATTTAAGGATCAGAAAGTACAAATTTAAAATTCTAATTCAAAATGTGAAAGAAGTTAGGAGGCTTGTTTTGAAGAATGTCTGTTGAAGCAGCGTCAATTGGGAGAATTTAAAAAATAAGTTATGGAATTCTTTACCCCAGCAGGCTGTAGATGCTCAAGACTGAGATTGATAGATTTATAAAGGATAGAGGGATTAAGGGATATGGGCAAAAGGTGGGCAGATGGAGTTAGGTTAGAAGATCAGCCATGATCTTATTGAATGGTGGGGTAGGCTCGAGGGGCCGATTGGTCTACTTCTGCTCCTAATTCCTATGTTCCTATGAATTAGATAAGCATATACAGAGACATTTTGTTCAACCCACAGCTGTCTTTCTAACTCTATATCCAGTCAGTCACAGAATCATCGAAATTTACAGCACAGAAAGAATTTTCTGTATTAGTTAATGAGGTTAGTGAACTCCAAATGAATTATGCCCCAAAAGGTTTTAACTCACACCATCCTTGAGATTTGATTCTGCTCTCTTTGACTGACGATAATAGAAAATCCAATGACAATGGATGGGACCAATAAAACAGTCCATCAAAATTCCAATAGGGGTATAGCTGAGAAGGGAGGAAAACAAACATGAAGGAGAAGTTCTGGTTATCTATCTATGTGACGTAAAATGTAATGCTGGTTGGACTGATTTTGTTCCATTTCTCTTTTGAAAACTACAATATGCTTTCTACAGAATTTTAATGTGTCCTTGTTTCATTCTGCAGCACATAAAGACAGACAAGGCAACTTCCCGAACAGATTTTCATTCATCGTCATTGGTTCTACAATAAACTCATCCCCGTTATTACCTAATTTAAGTTGTGCTTACCCGATGCTCATCAATAAAATGATTTATGCAACAAAGAGATAAAGCTTCTTTCTTCTCTTCCTGGTCATTTCTGGTCAGCTCGCACCTTGTCTTTCTGAGCAGCAGTTACAAAAAAAATCCTTTTGGTTGAATTTAAAGTTAACTTCCAAGTATATAGTTTTGTGACACTGCTGTGTGCAATTGGCTGCTGCGTTTCGGTCACAAAATATACAGACAATTAATTTTACAGTATATTCTATGAAGTGCTTTGAGACAGTCAAAGATGTGATGATGCTTTATATCAAATGGAAGGCTTAGTATTATAGAGGATTTCAAATTTCTGCTCAATACATCCTCACTTGCACACACTTGACTAGAATCATGAAATTAGCACTCTGTAGCGATTGATAATCTTTCTTTTGCTATATAGTGGATTAGACTGCAATACCCAATAGGAATATCAAAACAGTTACATACCTTGGGATGAATTTTGCAGTATTGCAAATTGATTTTTAAATTAAGAAAGCTGAAAGTGCATGATGCCAACTTTTGATAATACTTTTACAGCTCAATCTAGTTTTGGAGGGGACTTTATTTGAGTGGAGTGATGTGTGCAATGTACCTCCATTTACTGGAAGGAGTCCCCATTCAAATTTCCTGATGAAGAAATCCATTAATACCGCAAAAATTACCCATTTGTTTCAAATCTATAAGTAGAATTTAATCAGAAATTACTAGATTTAATTGCGCCTGGAACATTACTCAATCCTGATACTCACTGCCAGTCTCAAACACACCCAGGTCAAATCAGTTGCAGGTTAAAACCCCCTTCGCACTGATTTCATCCATTGGTCCTCTACAGTATATCTTTCCTCCTCAAAAGCCTATCTACTATTGCATCCGTGTGATATTTACATTCATAACACAAACCATTCTTGTGATTTCTAGTAAAAATGGCAGTTTAATAAATCTGATATGTAGACTAATAGCTAGCAAAATATTGGCTCATTTTTGCCCACATTTGATATTTTTGGTCACATTTGATATTTTGGGTCAGATGGTTGTACGCAGAAACCCATTCCATGCTTAAGAATATCCAAACCTGACTGAGATTGTCAGATATGCCAGTTACATATGGAAATTTCCCTTTGTCTGGAATAGAATATGCACTCTGTCTCTGTAGGGGCATACCCATGTCAAGAGCCAAGGCACTTGTGAATTTAAATTTGAGTCTAGTCTGACTCAGTGGTAGCACTCTTGCCTCTGAATTAGAAGGTTGTGGGTTTGAGCCCTATATCAGGACTTGGAATCACATAGTCTAAGATGATAAATGTAGTCTTCACATCAACCTAACTATAATCTGATTTAACAACGCTTCACATGTTTAGTATGCAATGTGAGTATACGATCGGCCAAGTTTTGGATCAGGTGGATTCTGAAGTCAGGAGGTGACGAAGGCATGGACAAGTGTTTCGGCTGCACCTAGGATAAGGTACAGTCAAAGGCAGGTAATGTGGTGGAAGTGGAGGAAGGCGGTCCTGGTCAGGGACCAGAAGTACTACTGTGGATCAAACCTGACACCTAGTGTGAGGATTCTGTAACTAATGAATTAAATATTATCTGAAATTAGATTTGTGATGCTTGATGTTTTTTAAGGCTTTTAATTAATTTTTATATTCTTTTAGAATGTAACCTACCTATAATCCTTACATAAAGTTATTTGGTTTAATGACTAGTTTAGGGCTCCTGAGAGGATACATGTGCTGATTAGAGTTAGCGAAGATAAATGTATATTTTTTTGACCCGGCGAAGGTCAGCTTCTGATTACACGCAGAGAACTGCCAAAACAAAAAAAAGTTGTCCATCTCTCTTTCTCCCTATCAGTTCTTTTCTCATTGGAAAACAGCCTGCCTGAGAAGGGTGGGGGCTTACTCCCATTTTTTTCAGAGGGAAAAGTAGAGACAAAGTAGAGACATCTTGTGAAAGATGAAGTAGGTGAATTGTCATCTACAAACTGGAGAAAGAGAGATCGATTCGGGAAGAGAATTAGAAGAGATTGGGAGTTGGAACTTGCGAGTCCCAAACCATATTCCAGCTTCTAAAGAAAAAAGATCAAGACTAAGACTTAAGACGACTGTCAACAACTTTATCGACTCTCTCCGCTCGGCAACGGTACAGAGGTACCCGGATACCTTTTGGTGGATTAATTTAGACATTGAATTGGACATTACTGTTAAGTGCTCCGAGATGCTATCCTGCAAGTTGTTGTTATTATAAAATGTAAGAGATGATCCAGTCTCCTCCTCTGCCTGTTACCGGATGCTTGCAAGGGTAAAGTGCTGGGTAGCAGAGTTGCCAGAAATTAAAAGAGTCTGTAGAAAAAAAGTCAATCAGATGCCGGTCCAAAAGTAGCCCAGTATTACGCCTCGTCTGCTCGTGGGTAAGAGAGTGGCCAATTTAGGTCAGCGATTTTGAAACTGTGCCAGAAAAGGTCCTCAAAGAAGAAAAACCCAAACGTTTTGCAGGTTTAAATGAAACATTTTTTTAAAAAAAAAAGACACTCATCCCGCAAAGGCGTTTTTCATGCCCTGTTGTTAACAGCGACCGCAACAACAACAACAACAACAAAAAACCCGCCCAATCGGGCGTGAACCCGCCCAAACGGGCTGGGTTGAGCCTGGTGGTGGGGGGGCGGGCGCGCGGGCTGGAAATCTCGCGATGGTCCGAGCGAGAGAGGGGGGGGGGGGGGTGTCGCAGTGCATTGTGGGGCGGGCGGGCGGTTGGTCGCGGAGAGCTGACATGGCGGAGGTGAGGCCGGAGGAGCGATTGTCAGTGGTGCGTGTGCCACAGCGTCACATTATATATATGTCTGTGTCTGTGTGTATATGTGTATATATATATATATATAGAGAGAGAGAGAGAGAGAAACTGTATAGAATGTGTCACGGGCTGACAGACAGCTTTGTATTGTCCCGCCTTGAGTGGGGCCTCACTGGGAGCGGAGCAGTGAGACTCTCTCACACACACAGAGCGAGGGAGCGCCTCCCCTCCCCCTCCCCTCCATGTGCCTCTGTGTTTTATACTCCACCACATGAGCCCTCCACCCGCTCCCACTCCCTCTGCCTCATATGCGTACGTCCGGGTTCCTCTTGAGCGCCACTCTCTAACCATCTGTTTTGGGGCGTTGTGTTCCCCAATCTCAATCGTAATCGTCATCACCGTCGTCGTCGTCATCATCATCGCTGCATTTTTGACACCGCGACTTATCGCGTCTTCTCGACGTCTCCAAAAAAGCGTTTCACGGAATAGACCGTAAAGCGAATTGGCGGTAGGTTTGTGGGCGAAACGCAGCAGCCAATTGCGCGCAGACAGGCGTGGATTGAAATGACCAATTTATTAGAGTTTTTTTTCTCTCTCTCTCGAGATTATTATCAGGCGTATGGAGTAAGGAAACTTGCCCGAGGTTTTGCCCTGCGAGTGCTCTAACTTGAGCTACAGGACTGCATGCCCTCTTTCTCGAAGAAGTTCCTGTTTTAGCCACCCCCAATTGCTATCTTATACTTGTGAGGACGTTGTACAGGGTTTGCTATCCAGTGTAATGACTGAATTTTGTAGGTGATTTTACAAAGACAAGATGCATAGAGAAACAGGCAACCGCACACATGCACAATCGCTTGAAGATGTTTCCCTACATGGAGATGCTATGTGAATGCAAACAGTTGTATTTCAAGCTTTCTCCCAGTTATTTACTGCTGTTGGTTCGCTGATCTGATTTGTAACTTTGAATGTTGCTGCTTTGCTAGATTGCTTTTACCAATTTGTTAATTTTCACTGATTTAGATTCACTCAACGAATGTGTGCTGCTTCTAAGTCAGAAAGTTGTGGGTTCAAGCCTAATGTCAGAACTTTGAACTCAAATAGACTTCCTCCTGATGTGAAAGACGCAAAAGAAATGTAATTTGTTGTTGTTGTTGTAGTAGTAGTCTCTTTGTTGATATTCCAAAACAGTGTGTGCATTGTTGGATGTGCTGTCCATTGGATGAGACGTTAAACTGCGGTTTCATCTTCATCTGCCTGTTCAGGTGGACTTCAGGGTCCCATTGCGCTAATCAAAAAGAGAAAGAAGTTTCTAACCAACAAAACCCCTCCCCCCACGGACAAAATTGGTTTTATTCACTTCATGTTTCACTTCCATGGTTCACTTCATGGCTGTATGTCGGATATTGTCAAATCGTCCGTTAAATCGTCATTCTGCTCCAAGACAATCTTGGAGGCTAAGGACAACCCCAGGCTCCTCTTCTCCATCACAAACTGGCTCCTCCGCCCACCCTCTCACAATTCACCCATCCTCACCTCAAATGCGAACTGCGAGGCGATGATGGACATCCTCGAATCCAAAGTCAGGGAAATCCGTTCAGCTGCCTCTGCCATTGCATCTGCTACCCCCTCCCCATCTCCCCCTCCCACCTGACCCCTACCCATCCCTCCCTCCACACCTTTGAACCTGCTTCCCCCTCTTCTTTCATCACCACCATAATCCGTATGAAACCCACCACCTGCTCCCTCGACCCCATCCCTACCTCCATCCTTACCTCCCAGCTCCATCTCCTTGCCCCTGTACTCATTGACATGGTAAAACTCCCTGTCCTCTGGTACTGTTCCTACCCATTTAAAAATCGCTGTCATCACTCCTATTCTTAAAAAGCCCTCCCTGGACCCTTCTTTACTCCCATACTACCACCCCATCTCCAACCTCCCCTTCCTCTCCAAGGTCCTGGAATGAGTTGTTGCTTTTCAGCTACGCTCCTTCCTCTCCCGCCACTCCCTTCTCGAACCCCTCCAATTGGGCTTCTATGTCACCCACAGCACAGAAACAGCCCTGATCAAAGTGACAAATGACATTCTGTCCAACTGCGACCAGGGCCCCCTCTACCTCCTCATCCTCCTTGACCTCTCTGCTGCTTACGACACTGTCGACCATTCTATCCTCATCACCTCTCCTCTTACTTCAACCTCCACAGCGCTGTCCTTGATTGGTTCAGATCGTACCTCTCACACCTCCTGCACTTCATCTCCTTAAACGGCTTCTTCTCTATCCCCCGCACTATATTGTGCGGTGTTTCTCAGGGCTCTGTCCTTGGTCCCCTCCTCTTCAATATCTGTATGTTCTCTCTTGTTCACATCATCCGCAGACATGGGGTCAACTTCCATAGTAAGCGGATGACACCCAACTCTACCTCTCTGCCTCCACCCTTGATTCCAGGACCACTGTTGTCCTGACAGAATGTCTGTCAGACAACAAGTCCTGGATGAGAGCTAACTTTCTTCAGTTGAACTTCAACAAGACCGAGGCTCTCCTGATTGGCACCTGTCAGCGCCTCCACATCTCAGGCGCTAACAGCATCACCATCCATGGTTTCATACTCCATCTTACTAAGCCAGTCCAGAACCTTGGGGTGTTGGTTGACCTTCAACTATCCTTCCTACCCCACATCTGCACCATGACCCACTCTGCCTTCCCCCACCTCCGCAACATCCCCCGGCTCCGACACTGTCTCACACCGCAGGCAGCCAAAACCCTCATACATGACTTCATTACATCGAGGCTCGACTATGCAACCACTGCTTGTCGGCCTCTCCAACTCCTCCCTCCACAGGCTGCAGATCATCCAGAACTCTGCAGCCTGTGTCCTCTCCCGCACCAGGCTCCACGACCCTATCACCCCCATCCTCGCCCAACTCCACTGGCTTCCCATCACACGAGGATACAGTTCAAGATCCTGGTCCTCACCTTCAAAGCCCTCCACGGTCTTGCTCCCCCCCTACCTCTCCGACCACCTAACTCCCCACCACCCTATTCGCTCCCTCCACTCAGCGGTCTCCGGCTGCTTCATGCCCCCCGCCTTGCTCGCCCCACTATCGGCGGGCGGGCCTTCTGCCACTCTGCACCCACCCTCTGGAACTCCATCCCTCAGTCCCTCCGTCTCGTCCATCCCGACCCTCAGCTCGGGTCTGTAACTCTGTCTGTCCAGCTCCTTGGGACGTCCTCGCGACGTGAAAGATGCTATACAAATGTAATTTTGTTGTTGTATTGTTAAATAATATAATTATCAATATTGATGAAGACCCCAACAGCCTGAGTCTGTTTAATGGATACAATTTCAGATATTTCTGAATGTTATTTGCAAGCTAAATGTAGCATTATTACCTCGTACATTTTGTTTATTTGTACTTTCTCTATACAATTACATTGTTTTAATTATCACTTGAGTTGCATTTCAAGTTTAGTTCAGATTCCTACATTAAATTGAAACATTTTCATTTTTGTTTCAGGAGGTGCAGAAGCACTCTGTGCACACGTTAGTGTTCAGATCACTGAAAAGGACTCATGACATGTTTGTAGCTGATCACGCCAAGCCCGTCATTATAGATGAGAAAAGGTAAGTACAGTAAACCCCCAACTATCCTGACCCCAGATATCTGGAATTTGGAATTAGCGGTCCGAAAATAAATTCCACAGTTCCGCATGCTAAAAATCCAGCCTGCGTTTTCAAGCCCTCATCACCCCATGCGATGCCCACAGTTTGATACTGATCGGTTTAACTGTGGACATCAATGGAGTTGTATCACATCAGTTGTGAGTAAAAAAAAAAGTTTTGTCTTATTTATTTAAAATAATTTTTTATCCATTTTAAATGTTGGGAAGGATTTATTTTCAATATTTGTATGATACCTCACAAAGGGTAAAGGATAACTTAAATTCCAGTATGGTGTATTTGTGCATTGAAGGGATTCAATCGCCTATTATACAAATGTTAAAATCACAACCTGGGTTTTGCTGGTTGAGCCCCATAATCGTATTTGTATAATGTGTAATTACCCGAATCAGTACCTTTTTTTGTGTGAATAAAAATAATACTAAATTCAAGACTTCCTTTTTGTTTGTGTATGGCTTTGGCTTTGGATTCATATAGCTGGCAATTGGGCTGTGTCCACTGACTCCTGTGGATGCTCACAGAATCGTAGAATCAGAATATAGGATCTCACATGATATTAGTTGTTCGTGATAATGAATTGTACAGTTACATTAGAATACATTAGAATATACAGCATAGAAATAGGCCATTTGGCCCAACTGGTCTATACCGGTGTTTATGCTCCACATGAGCCTCCTCCTGCCCTTCCTCAACTAAGCCTTCAAGCATAACCTTCTATTGCTTTCTCCCTCATGTACCTATTTAGCTTTCCCTTAAATACATCTATGCTATTTGCCTCAACAGCTCCTTGTGGCAGCATGTTCCACGTTCCCATTACTCTCTGTGTGAAGAAATTTCTTCTAACTTCCCTATTTGATTGGTTCGCGCCAGCGTCTCTGCACCTCAGGCTCTGGCAGCATCAACCTCCATGGTTGCACACAACAACTCACCAAGCCAGCCAGGAACCTAGGTGTCTTGTTCGACCCTCAACTGTCTTTTCTTCCCCACATCCAAGCCATGACCCGCTCTGCTTCCCCTCACCTCCGTAACATCGCCCGACTCCGCCACTACCTCACCCCTCAGGCCGCTGAAACTCTTGTTCATACCTTTGCCACATCCAGGCTCGACTATGCAAACACCCTGCTTGTTGGCCTTCCCAACTCCTCCCTCCATAGGCTGCAGCTAATCCAGAACTTTGCAGCCCGTGTCCTCTCCCGCACCAAACTCTGTGACCCCATCGTCCCCATTCTCGCTCGACTCCATAGGCTCCCTATCCTTCAGAGGATCCAGTTCAAGATCCTGGTCTTCACCTACAAAGCCCTCCATGGCCTCGCCCCACCCTTCCTCTGCGAACTCCTAACCCTCTACTAACCTGCCCGCTCCCTCTGCTCAGCCGGCTCTGGCCTGCTCCACATCCCCCGACCCACCCGCCCCACCATTGGCGGGAGAGCCTTCAGCCACTCTGCCCCCAACCTCTGGAATTCCATCCCCCAATCACTCCGCCTCGCGCCCTCCTTAGCCTCCTTCAAGTCCCACCTCAAAACCGTCCTCTTCGACCATCCCATCGGCCACCCCCTTTCCCCTCCCCTTTCTTCTCCCTCCTTGACCCCAGCTCGGGTCTGAAATGCTGTATACTGACCAGCGCCTTGGGATGTCCTCCCGACGTGAAAGGCGCTATATAAATGAAATCTTGTTGTTGATCTATTTATGACTATTTTATATTGATGGGCCCTGGTTTTGGTCTCCCTCAGTTTTTGCAACAACCACAACGAATTACATTTTTATAGCGCCTTTCACGTCAGGAGTATAACACTGCGGGGTAAGCACTTGGTCCTTGTGCAGTGTTGTTCTATACTGGGATGACCATGCTAAATGGGAAAATTAAAGGCATACCCTTAATAGCTCTGCTAAACCGTGGTGCCACGTGAGCAGGTATAATCTTCAATTTGTTCAATTCAACAACCGTTTCTTATTGTATAAAGTTTTTTTAATTTGTATTTTATTTTCATCAGTTACAAACTGAAGATGGATGTGAAGCTTCGTACAGAGTACAGTCCTGTGTTGCACATGCCTGTACTTAAAGAGGCCAGAGAAAAAGGTTCACAATCCATCGATCCATACAATTCTGGGCATTATGACCTAAATCATGGTACGTTAACATTGCTTTAGTTAAGCAAACATCTTGATACCAAATGTGTTATTATGAATCTTTCAGTTTATCTGATTAATTGGGGCCTCTGCACTGCACATAAGAAGATCAGACGCAACATACGTGTATAAATGAGCAGTCCCAAATTTCTCCCAGGATCTTTGGCCAGGTTTATACGACAGCAATTGGAGTGAAAATCGTTTCAAACTTCAGAAATAGTGACTTTTGGATGTTTACATGCAAATATTGGTTAATGTAATAATAATAATCATCATTCCATTTGATATAGCGCCTCAACATGTTGTTGAGACGTCTCAAAGCAGAATATACTGTAAAGTGAATTGTGTATTTTGTGGGCAAAATGAGGCAGCCAATCAATCATATGATAATAATAGGGCGTATTTTGCCATTGAAAGTTCTTGTGACATTAAACTATTACTTGATGACTTTCCATTCAGTGAATAACCATCGTGTGAGGCATTGTATCGCAATACATTTGAACAATTCTGGGACTGAAGTTTTTTGTGCCCCTAAAAAAGTTTATGAAAATACATGAATGATACACTGTTAAACATACATTATTAACATACAGTATACTGTATAAACATACAGTGTATCATTTACTTATGTTTCTTTCTCCTTTAAGGATATTCTACTTATAAAATACACTGCTGTACAATTTCAAAGAGGTTGGAATTTGTCATTGTATTGTTTCAGGTCAGGAATCTGAATACATTATAACTGGTACACATCCTTATCCATCCGGTCCAGGTTAGTAGTGGTTCTTACAATGCATTTAATAATACTCATAATAATGATAACAATAATAAATAATTAATAATAATAAAAATGATCCTTTCACGTCAACAGGCTGTCTCAAAAGTACTTCACAGGAGTAAAATGTAGTGACTGTATTTTGCAAACGCGGCAACTAACATACACAAAAGCAATGTCCCACAAAAACGTATGAAGCGAATAACCAATTTTATTTGGGGGTTTCTTGGCCAAGACACCGGGAGACACTCCCTTTTCCTTTCAAATAATGCTGTGGGTCAGGTTATCATTCATTCATGGTTGTTATCAGTCTGTCCAGGCACAAATGTCTGTCAAGATTGCCAAGACATACAGTCACTACACTTGAAAGTGTTTTGAGATTTTTGCAGCCAAAATAAGGAACTCTAAAAATGCAAGCTTTCTAATTGACAATTCAACATCATGATAATTGAAGATAATTAAAACTGTACCTTGTCACTAAATCGTTTTGTTTTGGTCTACACCAGAGGCCCTCTGTGTTTGGGAGTATTCTACAATTACAATACATTTACTTGTCTAAAGGGTCGAGCACACACTTACTCATTGTTAAATGACTATGTTTCTTTGTTGGGAGGAGAGGTGAGGATTTCTCTAAATGGTTTCAAATTGAACATTTAATTTTAATAAAAGCACTAATAAGAGATAATTACTAGGTTTGTTTTTATTGCTCCTTACAAATATTGAATCGCATTTGTCCATAGGAGTGGGTTTGACAGCTGAAACGCAGATGCAGAAAATGCCATCTGAGGCAAATGCTCAAGCCTTGGCTTTGTCTCTTCCTCCCTCAAAGGCCAGGTAAGGTTTGGTTATGAAATTGACAAATTATATATTGCATATTAACACAGATGTGCAGACCCCAATGCATGAACATTCCATATCTAGATGCCAGGTAATTGCATGTTCTTTCAACTACAGTGTAAAATATTGAACAAGTTAGTGTCAGCCTGGATCAGTTGGTAGCATTCTGGTCTCTGAGTCAGAAGGTTGTGGGTTCTAGCCCCACATCAAGACTTTGAAATCGCAGTTTACTATGACATTCCCATATAGTGTGCTGCATTGTTGGAGGTACCATCCTTTGAAAAGAGAAGGGATTTCTCCTGGTGTTCTGGACAACCATCCCTCGGACAACAATCCCTCAGACACATTATTGTGGACCAGCATGGTCTTGCTGAAGACTAACTCCTTGGCAGTACAGTTAATATCAGTAACACAATAAGCACGATTTTCTTTTTTGTGTGTGTTTTGAAAACTTAGTTGTAGATTTCCAGCAGAAGAAAAATACATTTTTATGGAGCAGTTTTGATTTCATTAGCAATGTTGGAATAACCTACATTAGCAGACTTGCTAATTTGGACTGTGTAAAGGTCTACTAACCTACAACATTAAAGCACATCTGATTAACAACTGCATATACTTCATCTTTTAAATACTGGCTTCATAATTCTGGAGTCATTTTTCCAGGTGATTTACTGGCTATACGCAAAATGAGGGGTGGGGGATGGAGAGAGAGTAAAAGTGAAGCATTCACAAGATCTTGAAGTTGCTGGTTTGATTTTACTTAAAGGATTCCTGGAATCCACTCCTAAGTATGTGTTTATTTCTCTTTCAGACAAGATGCTAATCATACTGCAGCTAGCGTTGCCGATATCCACAGACATGCAGGAATTGCTGAACGTTCACAGCCTCCAGGATCTGCCTTGGTAAGATTCCAGAACTGGAGCAAATATCCCAACATACTAGCATGCAAGTTGCCTGATAGTGGTCAGAATTTGGAGATTATTTAAAAAACCTTAAAGTGAATGTACAATCTGAATTAAATGCAGTTTTTAAAAAAAATGTGTTTTAGGCTCTAATGGATGCTGGAGGCACAAAGAATTCTGCTTTAATTACAAGGAAACTTCCTGCAATGCCAAAACCACAGTGGCATCCACCTTGGAAACTCTACAGGGTAAGCAACTTTAAATGAACTTTGTTATATAAACCTAGAACATATTCCCCTTACTTAATTAAAGACAGCTTCACATCTAAATGATATGTTTGGTATGTGCCAAGAAAAGGTTACAGTTAAATGGTTTTATAATAATAATAATCCTTGCCTTTGATATAGCGCTTTTCACGTCTTCTAGATGTCTCAAAGCGCTTCACAGAATATGCTGTAAGGTGAATTGACTGTATATTATATGGGCGAAACCCGGCAGCCAATTGCACACAGCAGTGTCCCACAAGCAGTCGTGGATTCAAGTGATCAATTTATGATTGATTTGTTTTGGAGAGATTATTATTAGGCGTGTGGAGTAAGGAAACTTGCCCAAGGTTTCGCCATGCCAGGAATCAAACCCAGTTCTCTCGCTTGCAAAGCAAATGCTCTAACCTCTGAGCTACAGGACTCCACATATATATATCATCCTAACTAGCTATAAAATTGATGTTTTATTAATCAATAGTGATTCTAGATTAGTCATAGTAAACTGCAGCAGAAACTTGGGTTCTTTGGTTCTCTTCTCAGTTGTGCTTTTTGGATGAACCATCTATTTTCTTTTATCTCTTAGTGATTACATTATGAATGACCCATATGCCTGGGTGCAGATTACCTTCTTCACAGGCAAAATAATATACACCTGGAAAACCGACGAGAAAAGTTTAAAAAAAGCTCAAAAATAGTTCTGATTGCTAAGGTGCAAATTGTGATGCAATATGTTATCACGAATGATATTTATCAAATCATTGGTAAATGCAAGCATTGGGGTTTGTTGATGGCTTGACTGAGCATGGATACCCTCCTTTTCCTTTCTTCCCCCCTTCACTCAACTTCATCACAGAGGTTAGGCTTGAAGTTGGCCTTTGGAATTTGGATTAGAGTCACTATCAACAGGATACTGGCATGCCATTATCATTGAAGGATAGAATATAGAAAAAAGTAAAGGTGAGAATAGATTAGGATGAATACAATAATAAATGTGATTTTAGGTTTTAAGTAGCTTTATTTCTGTAAATATTTTCAGCATCAGTGTATGAGCTGAAAATAGACAAAACAATTGGCACTTGGAGACAGAAGGCTCCAAAGATTGCTTAATTGTCCAAGGGTAATAAATGTATCTTTAGGTTATAATATTATCATCTAAGTTTTTAATACTGTTGTACATTGTGTTGCTAACTGTGCTTTCATTATTCTCCAGGTAATCAGTGGCCATTTGGGCTGGGTAAGGTGTCTTGGAGTAGAACCTGGGAATCAGTGGTTTGTCACTGGCTCAGCTGATAGAACGATTAAGGTAAGAGCCTGCAGAAGAATTACAGAGCGGCAGCTGATGTTCTTGGTATAAATATTTATTTCCCAGAGAGGAGGGTTTGTCTGGGATTTATAAAATAGTTTAATTGTGTATTTTCTTGCCTGCATTTCAACATTTTCCAACAGTCCACTACAGTTGATTGTGTTTATTGTTGAAAGAGAAGCATTAAAGTTTACTGCAATCAAACAATAAATATTTGGTTGGGGGGAAAGATAGATGGGAATGGAGGCAAATTGGAATCATTTAAATATAGGAAAACGAAAACTGAATAAAGTAAAACAAACATTAACTAAATGTTCAATGCAATGAAATAACTAATGGAATAAAAATTGCAAGAATATATTCAAGCTACAAGTGAGATTCGAATGATCTACTCTTTTAATTAATACATTGTCTGGAATTTTTCAAGCTTGAATATAATAGTAAGTATTAGCATAAAATTGATGCATTGATATGTTTTCTGGTTTGTTGCATTTTCTAGTTCCTTACAATACTCAGTTATTAAACTTACAACAAATAACTGCATTTTAAGGGCAGAGAATCTACTGTTCTTGGAAACTGAAACCTGAAGTCTAGTGTTAGTAGCACATATGTTAAATGAGAAACAAAACAGTGACTGTGAATCATCTAGATTTCCATTGAATTTATACTGATCAAGGGAGGAAAAAACATTTCCTGTCATTTTTATTTACTGTATAGATCTGGGATCTTGCCAGTGGTAAGCTGAAGCTGTCTTTGACTGGACACATCAGCACAGTACGAGGAGTGGCAGTCAGTTCACGAAGTCCGTACCTTTTCTCCTGTGGAGAGGATAAGCAAGTGAAATGCTGGGATCTGGAATATAACAAGGTACAGATTCTTAATGCTCAGAACGTAAGAAGACATTGAATTTACCTGGTTATTTGAGTGCAATCTTATTTATTTGTTTTGTAGGTTATCCGACATTACCATGGCATTTAAGTGCAGTATATGGGCTGGATCTGCACCCTACCATTGATGTCCTTGTAACGTGTGGCAGAGATTCAACTGCACGGGTTAGTTCCTTTCAAATATTCAATGCGTAGCCTAAATGTGGACTATAAATCCCCACACACACTCATCGGGCCAAATGGCCTGTTTCTATGATGTAAATGCTAGTAATGGATAACATAATATTTAATAAGATCTGCAAAGAGGTGTAGAAGAACCCTTCGATGCATTTGATTTTATCCCACCAAAAATATTTTGCTTTTGGCTTCTCTTGGTGCAATACAGTAGGTCCTCATCATAATATGGTAGTTGTGGTCCATAAAATCCCAACAAGTTCTATAACTGGGTGTGATCGCCAGTCACTACTGCATTCACTGTGCATTTCGTATGTAAGTCTTGGGGTCATAGGGCAATAAGCAAACCTACAATTTTGTGTTATAAGCAAACCTTTAAGGAATCACATTCTAACAGCAGCAGTAAAAATTACATTTGTATAGTGCCTTTCACATCGGGAGGATGTCCAAGGCACTGGACAGTCAGGGATTTGGACCCGAGCGTGGGTTTGGGATCAGGGAGGGTGGAGGGCAGGCAGGATAGAGATAGGAGTGTAGTCGAAGGCGCGGTCGAAGAGCACGGTTTTGAGACGTACCTTGAAAGAGACCAAGGGGCGAGGCAAAGGGACTGGGGTGGAGTTCCAAAAGGTGGGAGTAGAGAAGCTGAAGGTCCAACTGCCGATGGTGGGGCGAGCCGGGCTGGGGATGTGGAGTAGGCCAGAGCCTGCTGAGCGGAGGGAGCGGACAGGTTGATATGGGGTTAGCAGGTCATAGAGGTAGGAAGGAGCCAGGCTGTGGAGGGCCTTGAAGACGAGGATTTTGAACTCTATCCTCTGAGGGATGGTGAGTCAGGCAAAGTGGGGTTGATAGGGTCACAGAGCCTGGTGTGGGAGAGGACAAGCTGCAGAGTTCTGGATGATCTGCAACTTGTGAAGGGAAGAGTTGAGAAGGCCGACAAACAGGGAGTTGGCATAGTTGAGCCCAGACGTAATTAATGTGTGGATGAGGGTTTCAACAGCATGAGGAAAGAGGTGGTGGTGGAGCCAGGCGATGTGGGGGAAGGAAGAGGTGGTCTTATTTTTCTGGTTGAGCAAATATAACTGGATACTATTTGGTACTTTTACCTTTTTTTTCGGCATAGGTATGGGATATACGGACTAAAGCAAATGTTCACACCTTATCAGGACACACAAATACTGTTGCCACAGTGAAATGCCAAGCAGGAGAACCACAGATTATTACAGGTCAGTACCTTTATATATGTGATTTTGAACATAATTGGGTAGGAATGATAATAGGCCATTTGTCCCATTTAACCCAATGTTTTAGTACATGTACATCATTTGGGATGAGTTGGCAGTTTCTGTTTTGATTGGATAGTTTTGGTGATATTGTGTGGTCCAACTGGTAAGTACAGTCTTTGTTTCCATATGAATTGAAAGTGTGAGGACCAGAAGGTTATGCGCTTGGATCCACTGTGAGTTCAATTGCTCTTTCACATTTAAAAAAAAATCATTTCTTTATAATATTAATTTTGGGTAAGCCAGATCTGACTCAGATTGAAGGTATGGTTTGTAAAGTTATGCAGATCCATATTAAAGCAAAACATCATTAATGGTTCATCAACTGAAATTTAAGGAGCATGCCTTTGATTACTTACTTTTTATCGGTAAAAGGTAACATCTGTATTTGTGTGTCTCTGTAACCACTTAAAGGATTTGTAAAGATCAAACTGCCTTGGTTATTTTGTGTACATTGAATGTGTTTTGAAAAGAGCAATTTGTTTCTTGCAGGTAGTCATGACACTACCATACGGCTGTGGGATCTGGTGGCAGGGAAAACTAGAGTCACCCTAACAAACCACAAGAAATCTGTGCGTTCTCTAGTTCTACATCCAAGACAGTAAGTGTTTAGGAAAATTATACCTGTTTCAATGTATTTAATTTTAATTGACTTACTTATGGGAAGTAGTAATTTATAATTTCCTGGTTATCATCCTTTTTGATATTAATTTAGCTTGTATCTTTCTATGATTCAGGTGAACATTAGTAGGACTGTTCTGACCTTGGTGTTTCAAAGATTATATGGCATTCGCCTCCCAGTTATCCTGACTTATATTTCCTTTCTAATCCAAAGTTTCCCCCCGCCAATTCAAATGAATTGCCTACTCATGTATTGTGTAGAAGACATTGCTGCTGCAGATTAGCTGCCATTTACTTTCAATTCTAATCGGTTGTATTCTGTAAATCACGTGTAAAGGACATTTTATAAGAAAGCGGTTCATGCAAATACAAGCTTTAATTTATTGCTCCTAGTTAATTGTGATGGCAATTCCATTTACAAAAAATATGGATTACTTGATTAGATTAAATATTTAAAGATTCTCAATGAAAGCAAAATTCTGCTTTTAAGTTTATTCCCAGTTATGCTTTATATTTAATGTAAACAATTCCTATTCTTACAGGTACACGTTTGCCTCTGGTTCTCCGGATAATATAAAGCAGTGGAAGTGCCCAGATGGAATTTTTATTCAAAATCTGCCAGGTCACAATGCGATCATCAATACACTTGCTGTAAATTCAGATGGAGTGCTCGTATCAGGAGGTAAGCTGCTTGTGAGATAGATGGGAGAGGAGATAGTGAACAGAGAATATGCTTAGCGCTTAGATAACCCATTTTTTAAGTATTCAAAATATAACACAAAATTCAGATACAACAGGTGGGATGTAATGGTTAATGTAGCTTTTGCTTGTGTTCTGTATCAGAAATATAAATCAAACTAAAATGTAGTACACCTAAATTGAATTAAATTTAGTACATCTGAATGTGTGGGTGCACTTTCAGTACCATGCTCATCTTTTCCACACATGCAATTGTTTTTTCAATATCTTTCTAGTCATATTACATTTTAAATAAGTTGGGGTACTTCTGCATGTGTTATTTTTAATATTTGCGTTAAATCAGTGATGTATATCAGTCCTCACACGACTACTTTATTAACAGCTGATAATGGTACCATGCATCTGTGGGATTGGCGAACTGGATACAACTATCAGCGAATACATGCTGCTGTTCAGCCAGGCTCTTTAGACAGTGAATCTGGAATATTCGCTTGTACCTTTGACCAGTCGGAGAGCAGATTGCTAACCGCAGAGGCTGATAAAACAATCAAAGTCTACAGAGAAGATGACACTGCTGTAAGTATGTTACTTGCGTGGCTTCCACAGTTCCTCTAATCTGCAAAGAAACCTTAATTTTAAAGATGATCAAACATAAGTGATATTTGTGATTAAAAGGTATATAATTAATTAAATTAAAACTAAAAGCACAGATTTGTCTGTAGTGGGCCTTTCCTCAACATTCTGTGTACTTCAATTTCAGTTGTGTGGATAGTATATCAATAATAATAAAAAACTTGCCTTTGATTTTGTGTTTTATCACCTTGAAATATCTCAAAGCACTTCATTTTTTTTCGGTGAAGTGTAGACTATTTACAGGCAAAAATAGCAGCCAATTTGCACGCAGCTATGTCCCACAAGCAGCTGAAGAGTAACTTCAGCGCCCCCAAACCTCCAGCACTACATTGGTGCAACAACCTCAAAGTCCGGACCTGAAGCTTGAACCCACAACCTTCAGAATCAGAAACCGAGGCATCCGAACTTGGCTGATATTGTAGATACTAGGCTTTCTGTTCACACAATGTAATTTGCAGAAAAGGAGAAATAACATTTCGTTCAATATTCGATTAATAATATAAGGTATGGTTTGTCTAAATTCCCACCCTCGCCTTTCAATGCTGTGGGGAGAAATTAGCAAACTAAAGACTGAAGGCAAGTTATAACTCTGGCAGAAATGTTTAATGTGGTTGCTTCAGTGCATTTCTTAACACCAAATCGAGAGCTGAAACTTATCGGTGGCAGATGATTTCCTCATTTACTGTTGACTGGGAGGTAAAATATATGAATTGGCAGAAACATTCTTCAAATATATGTCCTATTTTAAAAGTTTAAAATTAAGTTACTTGATTCTTGAAGACCAAGCAGTGTGCAACACCGTGCACCAAGCAATCCAGAATATGCCGTTTACATTTGTGGTAGTTTTTGTCGTAATATCACTAGTCAAGTTCATATAAGTTTTTGCTCCAATTTGCTCCGGAGCCTGCTCAGTATCAGACATAAATGGGTGAAATGCACATATTCTTGAACTGTTATGCGGGTTGTGACTATTTCTTTTGATCAAGTTTAGTGTTTGTTTTGAAAAAGAGCTCTAAACATTTTTAAAACTGTTTTGATTTATGATTCTTTGCTGATTTGAAACTGACTTCTGCCATGTTTCCTGCAGACGGAAGAAACTCACCCAGTCAATTGGAAGCCAGAGATCATCAAAAGGAAGAGATTCTAAATTACTCTGACATTAAAAATAGTTATGTTGCATTTGTTTTTTTTGTTTGTTTTCATAAGGCTCTTTTTTTTCCTCCCCTGCTCCCGATTTCTTCCCCAACTATTCCTTTACACAAAAGTGGACTTGGACTGCTTCCCAGAACTTGACAATATGTGACCAGTTAGTTGCTAGATGTGAAAGTTCTCCATTTTTTTATTCCCCCTCCCATTTATTAGTAAAATGCCTGTCATCTCAACATATTCCATGATATCGCAGCAAATATTGGTGTCCTGCCATGTGGGAAATTGAAGGTGCAAACCAGCATCCTACCAATCCACATCAATGGGCTGCACAAAGTCAATTGTTACAATTTGTCTCTGACCAATAGATTACTGTACAAGCCACGAGAAACATTGTCAAATTATGTTTTTAACTCATCATAGCAATGCTGTTGTAAATTGTTTTCCTATAATAAACATTTCTGTACAAAAATTGTGTATTTCATATTCATAAATTTCTATTTAAAGTTTTTGCTTAATCCATTTGTTATCTAGAATTTGTGGCTACACTGCTTAGTCAAGGGGTTTAACCTATTACGTATCTTTGCATTCACAATGTGTGAATGATCTTAAAAGCCTCCCCTTTTTATACCCCAATACAGCAAATACCTACTGAAATTGTATTTTAGTTCTATCTGCGATGACTTGTTTCACTTAAATGAACAATTGAATGATTGTAATTGAATAACTATCGAAATATGCCTGTCAGTTTTCTAACCTCATTGTTTTGAGATGTTGATTTTAATGTGGATGGAACAGTATAATTTTCATAGCCTTTTATTGGTAATCAATAAACTACCCTAAAATACTGTATTTCCATATACTGTACTACATGTTTCTCTAATTTATCATAAACTTCCCTATAATGATTCTGATATTGAAGTGCTTGATATCTTGGAACGAGTGGATTTAATGTTGAAGCTTCAAATAAGCTTTTCCCACTCCCAACGGATTTCCTCATAAAGTGAATGACCATCTCTTAAAACAATTTTTTCAGAACTGTCAGCACTTGTAAAAGACCAGCAAAGGTTCTTCTACCCCTCCCAAAATTTAAAACTTGTTTCTCTTATCAGCCTTGACGTTTGCATGCCTGAAAATGTATTCTTAGGTATTGCCCACATTATTATTTTGCACATTGAAAGTGCCACAAATGACATTACTGAAATCTGAAAAGGTAATGTTACAATATGCACCAAAAGTTTAGATTTTATTTTAATCTTGCTTCACTATTGTGAACCGCAAAAAAAAGACTGGCCTTTTCTACAGATTCTCATTTTTTCAAGCAAAGCAGTAGTTTGCCTTGTCAGATCAGCTCAGACGGTTGAAAGGCTTAGAATGACTACAGACTTTACTTAAACCTGGAGTCCTGCAGCTTAGTGATTAGAGCACTCAACAAGATTGCATTTATAGAGCGCCTTTCACGTTGGGAGGATGTCCCAAGGCGCTGGACAGTTGGGTCGGGACCCGAGCCTTGGGGGGAAATGGTCAGGGTGAGGGGAGGGAAGGGAGGGAGCGAGGAGGGGGTAGAGAGTCGAGAGGGGAGCTGAAGGCACGTCAAAGAGAAAGGTCTTGAGACCGGCCTTGAAGGAGGAAAGGGAGGAGGCGGCGAAGGCACTGGGGATGGAGTTCCAGAGCCTCGGGCTGAGAGGCTGAAGGCCCGGCCACCGATGGTAGGGCGGTTGGGGCGGGGGATGTAGAGCAGACCGGAGCCAGAGGAACGGAGGGTATGGGCAGGTAGGTAGGGGGATAGTAGGTCGGAGAGGTAGGAGGGAGCAAGGCCGTGAATGGCCTTGTAGGTGAGGATGAGGATCTTGAAATCGATCCTCTGGGGGATGGGGAGCCAGTGGAGGCGAGCGAGGGTGGGAGTGATGTGGTCCCGAAGCCTGGTGCGGGACAGTACACGAGCTGCAGAGTTCTGAATGACCTGCAGCTTGTGGAGGGAGGAGCCGGGAAGGCCGACGAGGAGAGAGTTCCCATAGTCCAGCCTTCAGGTGATAAAGGCGTGGATCAGAGTTTCAGCAGCGTGAGGGGTGAGGTAGTGCCGTAGTCTGGCGATGTTTCGGAGATGATGGAAGGCAGTGCCAGTTGTGGCGCGGATATGAGGAAGAAAGGACAGCTCAGGGTTGAACAGAACCCCGAGGTTCCTGATTGGCTTTGAGAGGTGGAGAGTGCAGCCTTGGATGCTGATGCTGTCAGTGCCTCGCAAGCGAGAGGACCTGGGTTCGATTCCCAAACTGGGCAAGTGTCTTTACTCCACATGCCTCTATTTACCTCAAATCAGCTCAGACAGAGTTGAAAATCTTAGAATGACTACAGATTTTACTTAAACCTGGAGTCCTGTAGCTCAGTGGTTTCAGCACTTGCCTTGCAAGCGAGAGACCTGGGTTCGATTCCCAGCAGGGCGAAACCTTGGGCAAGTTTCCTTACTCCACATGCCTGATGATAATCCCTCAAGAAAACAAAAAAAAATTGGTCACTCAATTCACAACTGTTTGTGGGACACTGCTGTGCACAATTGGCTGCCGCGTTTCACCCACAAATGTACAGTCAATTCACTTTACAGTATATTCTGTGAAGTGCTTTAAGATGTCTCGAAGATGTGAAAAGCACTATATCAAATGTAAGGATTATTATTATTATCTAGCAGTAAGTAAGAACCCAGTTGTTAAGTCAATTGACAGATTGCTTTTCCGGGGATAATAATCCCTCCAAAAAAATAAAATTAATAATAATTTGGTGACTTGGTTCACTACTGCTTGTGGGGCACTGCTGTGTGCTATTGGCTGCCATGGTTCGCGAACAAAATATAGTCCATTCACTTTACAATATATTCTGTGAAGCGTTTTGAGACGTCTCAAAGATGTGATAAGGCTCTCTATCAAATGCAGTGATTATTATTAAACAAAGTCCTTTTTTAAATTCCAGGGGGTGCTTAATATTCTTCAATATATGTTGGGTATAGACTTACTGGTCCTATGCTTGACATCCTATGCAACAGAAATAAATTGAAACTCAAAGATTAAAGCTGGCAGAGCATTGTCCATTTCACAACCTGGATTTTGAAGCAAGGATATTTTTCTCAAAAAGAAATTTCATTTTTTTGGGATTTTATTTTGAAATTGCATGGAGCTCTTATTCATGCTTTGTCTGATTTCTCTGGAGATTGTAGTTTGACTTTGCTTGGAGATATTTTCATTCTGACATTCAATGTCCTTCAATGTTGACCTAAGGGGGGAAGGGGGTGAAGAAGAGGGTCTCCGGGATATATCTATTTCCAACAGAAAATAGATTCAACGTCTAATGTATTGGACGTCCTGACAAGTTTCTGACATGTTATTTATTGATTTGTGAATTAAATATTTCCTCTTGAAACTATTGCTCAATGAAAATGATTTAAATCCCTACTTACATTATCATTTTGTTTTCATATTCAAGCAAAATAATAAATAATTCCTGACCAATTCACACCTCCAGAAATTATATATTTATTATTTAAACCACACATACATAAATTTTAACAGTGACTGGACAAGCTTCCACCACACCAGGTCTGACAGCGGAGCAGGTATTTTGTCTTAACCTGATACCTTTTGATGGGTGTTGTTTTTCCTTGCCTGTTTTCTTCTACATCTTAAAATATGCACTGAGGGGAAGACAGGTGTTTTGACCTCATTAGAAGTTTGTTCTTTGATACATAGGAAGCTACAGCATATTCATGATCCTGCCTCCGTTTAAACTCATGAAAGCGTGATACTGTTACAATAGAAGGGAAGATCAAAATAGCTGACAGGATAATTCTAATTAGCAAATTACGATTTAAGAGATGCACTGCCATTTGCGAAACATATTTCAGAAACGTTAACTTGCTTTAAATGTTAGAATGGTAAACTCACATATTTCTGCTAAAAACACTACTGGGCATAGGCAAACTCAATCTTATCGTATAATTTGAGTATAGATAAGGGACAGCTACCAGCAACTCAGCTTAAAGGCACCCACGATCTGTAAATGTTAACACAAACTAAAACAAGCCTATCCCGCCCGTCCAAATCCAGCTAACTTCAGCTACCTGCACATCAGTAATGGTGCCTGTATTTGGCACAGCGCCTTATCATGTGTTGAGCTGTTCCGAAGCACTTCGAATATGCTGCAGAGTGGTGTGACTGTGTATTTTGCGTAATGCCTCCTTGTGTAAGTGAGTGCATGTCTGCCATGTCAGGGTAACTAATCAGAAGTATTAACCGAGATTAACCCGTCTCGTACAGATTAAGTACTGGACCTCACAGAAGCGGTGCAGTGGCGATCTGCATGTTTTCCCTCTTGACAGCCGGAGTTCATGGCGGTGGGTGTGCGTCACCCGCAGTGAGATAGAGACGGGAGGGGAGCGGGTGCGGCGAGTTGGTTGCGGAGAGAGGGTCGGTGGCGAGCGGTCCAGTATTCCGCACCGATCACCCTCGGCTAACACGCACTTTCGGGTGACCGGGAAGTCTCCGCTTTTACGGCGCAAAAATCACCAAAGGTCCACGAAGGGCGAGAAGGGATTTGCGCGGAAGAGGAGCCCGGGCGCGCACACCGGCAATGGACTTTCATAACGCTTGTCAAGTTCACTGGGGGCAGGACAAGACGACGGGGTTTTTTTACACAGGTACACTCTGCACCACGGCCACTTTAGCACCGTGTGCGTCGATTTCTTAACACTTGGTACTGGAGACGTATAGACGCAGAGAAACTGGCACACTCTCTAATCTCCTCGAGTCCAGTGGAGTTCATTTCGCGAATATAAAAGGGTACGTTTCTGATGGACCAACAGAACATGGCAGCGCACTTTCGCTGCTGCTTCCACCAGCAAAGGTACGACTTCGCAAAATTACTCTTCCAAATGGTGGTGCTGTTCGGGACTTCTCAGACCGGTCAAGCGTACGATTTAAGTCTGTCTGTGGACGAGGGGCAGCCGCCAGAAACCCTCGTGGGAGACATCAGCGCCGGACTGCCCGAGGGGACGCCGAGCAGCGGGTACTTTATCTCGGAAAGCCACGAATCTCTCGTCTTCCGCGACCTGCACATCGATGCGGCGACGGGGATAATAAAGACGGCGAAGGTGCTCGACCGGGAGACCACGGAGCGGTACGCGTTCGTGGCCGTGACTCCGACCGGCCACGTGGTCCGGGTGCGGGTGCGGGTGAAGGACGTGAACGATCACGCCCCGGTCTTCCCCGGGGGCACGATCCGGCTCAACATTTCAGAGCAGACCCCGGTCGGGGTCGCATTCCGGCTGGACGGAGCCCGGGACCCGGACGCGGGTGAGTTCGGCACCCAGGGCTACCTGATCACCGGGGGAAACCCGGGCACCTTCCAGCTTCAGTCCAGGAGGGGAGCGAGCGGCCTGGGCTTGGACCTGGTGCTGCTGCAGCCCCTGGACCGCGAGACCGTGGACTCTTACTCCCTCACCATCGAGGCCTTCGACGGCGGCACTCCCCGGAGAACGGCGACCGCGCGATTGGACATCCAGGTGCTGGACGCCGACGACAACCCGCCGAGGTTCGGGCAGACCGAGTACGAGGCCTGGGTGCGGGAAGACGCCGCCCCGGGCACCAGGGTGCTGCAGGTACACGCCAGCGACCCGGACCAGGGGAGCAACGGGCTGCTCACCTACCGGATCGACCGCGACGGCGGCGGCGGCGGCGCCGGCCAGGCCCCCGGCCCGCCCTTCTCCATCGACGCCGAGAGCGGCGTGATCAGCGTGAGCGGACCGCTGGACCGGGAGCGGCGCGGCGTCCACCGGCTGGTGGTGCGGGCGGTGGAGCGCGACTCGCCGCCCGAGGCCGCGGCCGCCGCCGCCGCCGCCGCCTTTGTGTCGCTGCGGCTCCTCGACGTGAACGACAACGCGCCGAGCCTCAGCGTCATGTACCTGGGCCCGAGCGGCCGGGCGCTGGTGTCGGAGGGGGCGGCGCCGGGCGAGCCGGTGGCCAGGATCTCGGCGACGGACCCCGACCTGGGAGACAACGGGCGGCTCCTGGTGACTCTGCGAGACGAGGAGGAAGATGGCGGCGGCGGCGGCGGCGGACGGTTCTCGCTGCGGCGCGTGGCTGAGTCGGTTTACCTGCTGTGTGTGAGCGGCGCCCTGGACCGCGAGGAGCGCGAGGTCCATCGGCTCGTGCTGACGGCCCGCGACCGGGGCTCGCCGCCCCTCGCCGGCCGCCTGCCGCTGCGCCTGCGGCTCTCCGACCTCAACGACCACGCGCCGGCCTTCCCTCGCGGGCACCTGTACCGCGCGCGAACCGCCGAGGGGGTGCCGCTGGGGGGCAGGGCCCTGGCTCGCGTGCGGGCCCTCGACCCCGACAGCGGGCGCAACGGAGCCGTGCGCTACCGCGTGCTGAGCGAGGCGGCGGCGGCGGCCGGCGGCGAGGTGCGCGCGCGCGGCGGGAGCCAACGGGCCGCACCGGGTGGGGGTGAGGCGCGTGCGCAAAGCGGGAGCCAACGGGCCGCACCGGGTGGGGGTGAAGCGCATGCGCAAAGCGGGAGCCGGCGGGTCGTCCCGAGTGGGGGTGAGGCGCATGCGCAAAGCGGGAGCCGGCGGGTCGTCGCGAGGGGGGGTGAGGCGCGTGCGCAAAGCGGGAGCCGGCGCCGGCGGGTGACTCAGGGCGGGATTGGGGCGCATGCGCGGCGCGGGAGCGACGAGCACGCGCAGAGCGGCCGTGAGGAGCACGTGGCGAGCGGGGGCGAGGAGCATGCGCACTGCGGGGCGGTGCGAGCGGGCGGGGGTTACTTCCGGGTGCACCCGGAGAGCGGCGACATCTTGGCGGCGGACCCCCGGCTGTGCCTGGACCGGGAGAGGCAGGCGGCGTTCCTCCTGGTGGTGGAGGCCAGGGACCTGGGGGAGCCGCCCCTGTCGTCCACCGCCTCCGTCCTGCTCCTGGTGGACGACGTGAACGACAACGAGCCGATCTTCGAGCGGCAGGTGTACAGCGCGTCCGTGCGGGAGCGCGTCCCACCCGGTACCAGCGTCCTGCAGGTAAGGCAGGTCACACACACACACATAGCCCCCCATCACCCCCATCACCCCCCCCCCCCCCCACACACACACACACACACACACACAGCCATCACCCCCATACACGCACACACACACACAACCATCTCCCACCCACACACACACACACACACACACACATAGCCCCCATCACCCCCCCACACGCACACACACATAGCCCCCCATCATTCCCCCCCCCCCACACACACACAGCCATCACCCCCACACACGCACACACACACATACATAGCCCCCATCACCCCCCCCACACGCACACACACACACACACAGCCATCACACACACACACACATAGACCCCCCCCACACACACACACAGCCATCACACACACACACACATAGCCCCCCATCACCCCCCCCCCACACACACACAGCCATCACACACACACACACATAGCCCCCCATCACCCCCCCCACACACACACACACAGCCATCTCCCACCCACACACACACACACACACACACACATAGCCCCCCATCATCCCCCCCCACACGCACACACACATAGCCCCCATCATCCCCCCCCCACACACACACAGCCATCACCCCCATACACGCACACACACACACAGCCCACCATAGCCCCCCATCACCCCCCCCCCCCACACACACACACAGCCATCACCCTCCCCCCCCACACACACACAGCCCACCATAGCCCCCCATCACCCCCCCCTCCCCACACACACACACACCCATCACCCCCCCCACACACACACACAGCCCACCATAGCCCCCCATCATCCCCCCCTCCCCACACACACACACACACCCATCACCCCCCCCCACACACACATCACCCCCCCCACACACACACACACAGCCCACCATAGCCCCCCATCACCCCCCCCACACACACACAGCCCACCATAGCCCCCCATCACCCCCGACACACACACACACACCCATCATCCCCCCCACACACACACACCCAGCAGCCCCCCCCCACCCACACATACACACAGTCCACCATAGCCCCCCACTCCCCCCCATCACCCCCCCCCCCAGACACACCCCCATCACCCCCCCCCACACAGCCCACCATAGCCCCCCCCCGCCCCCACACACTCGCACATCATTGCCATGAAATGCGTGAAGGGTGTAATATATATGCACGCTGTTGTGTTAAAATCTCTCAGATGCGTTTCAATCTGATAAGACATCAAATGTAAATGTTGTTATGAGATGAGGAACCAATGGAAATGTGTAATCCAGTTGACACAATGAGCTTGCTCTACCATCTTTATTAGCCAGCGGCAGGTATTTATCCTTTCAATCCAATTGCCCTGCTCTTTTCTCCATATCGCTTAAATATCCACTCTTCAAATTTATCTCCCTGCTAAATACTCAAATGGGTTTTGCATCTGTGGCACTCCGGGCCAGTGCACTGCACATTAAATAGAGCTCTTTGTGCAAACAGAATCTCCACAGATCTCAAAGCCATGCACAAGTGTGTGAATGGGGAAAAGGTCACTCCCTTCCAGATTCAAAGCATGGCATTTTTGTGCATCTCACTCCATGAGTATGATCCCAGTACCGTCGCTTCAATAACAATTAAAAAGTAGAGCTAAAGAAGTTAAAATAAGTCTCGAAAACCCTTCTTTGTTCCTGAAGAAGCAATGGAGATCACCATCAGTCAATATTGTCTTCCTATTTTAGCAGTAGTTTGTCTGTTCAAAACAGTGAAGGTCAATGTTCTATACTCGCAATCGGGTGGCAGAGCAATAGGAAATGCTATTTGCAATAGGACACACTGGTTTGCTTGAGCACACTTTGTTTTCTAACTCTCCACTTCACCTGATAGAGCTGTAAATTATTCCAGTAGTTGTAAATGAATCAAAAATGAAATGCTAGGGATGATATAATTGCATTTCATGTCAACTCGACTCTTGATCTTCTTAAAAAGAATATACAACAGCAACAAAATTACATTTGTATAGCGCCTTTCATGTCAGGAGGACGTCCCAAGGTGCTGGACAGTCAGGTTTGGACCCGAGCTGGGGGTCGTGATCGGGGAGAGTGGGGGGCAGGGGGAAAGCATGTTGATCGAAAGCATGGTTGAAGAGGAGGGTCTTGAGATGGGTCTTGAGGGGGCAAGGCGGAGGGACTGCGGGATGGAGTTCCAGATGGTGGAGCCAGAGTGGCAGAAGGCCCGCCTGCCAATAGTGGGGTGAGTGAGTCAGGGGACGCGAAACAGGTGGCAGTCCGCTGAGTGGAGGGAGCGGGCAGGATGGTAGGGGGTAAGGGGATTGCAGGGATAGGAGGGAGCAAGACCATGGAGGGCTTTGAAGGTGCAAAACAGGATCTTGAATAGTATCCTCTGTGTGATGGGAAGCCAGTGGAGTTGGGCGAGGATGGGGGTGATAGGGTCACGGAGCCTAGTGCAGGAGAGGATGTGGGCTGCAGAGTTTTGGATGATCTGCAACCTATGGAGGTAGGAGTTGGGGAGGCCGGCAAGCAATGAGTTTGCATAGTCAAGCTTCGATTTAATGAAAGCATTTATGAGGGTTTCGGTGGCCTGAGGTATGAGATAGTGGCGGAGCCGGGCGATGTTGCGGAGGTGGGGGAAGGCAGAGCGGGTCATGGCACAGATGTGGGGTAGAAAGGATAGTTGAGGGTCAAACACAAGGTTCTGGACTGGCTTAGTAAGGTGGAGTGTGCAACCATGGAGTGTGATAATGTCAGCGCCTGAGGTGAGGAGGCGCTGACGAGAGCCAATCAGGGGAGCTTCGGTCTTGTTGATGTTCAACTGAAGAAAGTTAGCTCTCATCCAGATCTTGTTGTCCGACAGACATTCTGTCAGGACAGTGGTCCTGGAGTCAAGGGTGGAGGCAGAGAGGAATAGTTGGGTGTCATCCGCTTACATATGGAAGACCCCATGTCTGAGTATGATGTCACCAAGAGGGAGCATATAGATATTGAAGAGGAGGGGACCAAGGACAGAGCACTGAGGAATGCCACATGAGACGATGGGGGACTAGAGGAGAAGCCATTTGCGGAGATGAAGTGGAGGCGGTGTGAAAGGTACGATCTGAACCAGTCAAGGACAGAGCCGTGAATATTGAGATGAGAAGAGAGGCGGTGGATGAGGATAGAGTGGTCGACGGTGTCGAAGGAAGCAGAGAGGTCAAAGAGAATGAGAAGGCAGAGGGAGCCCTGGTTGCAAATGGACAGAATGTCATTTGTCACTTTGACCAGTGCTGTTGGTGGCGTGGAAACCTGATTGGATGGGCTTGTGAAGGGAGTGGCGGGAGAGGAAAGAGCGAAGCTGAAAAGCAACAACTCGTTCCAGGAGCTTGGAGAGGAAAGGGAGGTTAGAGATGAGTCGGTAGTTGGGGAGTAGAGTTGGGTCCAGGGAGGGTTTTTGAAGGATAGGAGTGATGATGGATGTTGTTAATGGGGTGGGGACAGTACCAGAGGACAGGGAGATGTTGACGATGTAAGGAGGTGGAGCTGGGAGGTAAGGAGAGGGGTAGGGATGGGGTCAAGGGAGCAGGTAGTTGGTTCAATACGGGTTATAGTGGTGAAAGAGGAGGGGGAGACAGGTTCGAAGGTGTGGAGGGAGGGATGGGTAGGGGCCGGGTAGGAGGGGGAGATGGGGAGCGAGTAGCAGATGGAATAGCAGAAACAGCTGACCGGATTCTCTTGACGTTGGATTCGAGGAAGTCCAGCATCACCTCACAGTTGGCATTTGAGGTGAAGATGGGTGAGGCATGAGAGGGTGGGTGGAGGAGCCGGTTTGTGATGGTGCAGAGGAGCCTGGGGTTGTCCTTGGGCTCCAAGATTGTCTTGGAATAGAACGACGATTTAGCAGAGGCGAGAGCAGAGCAGTAAGATTTGATATGGTCCAGCCAGGTCAGCCGATGGACCGTTAAGTTTGATTTAAGTCAGGAGCGCTGATGACGGTGATGAAGGTGGGGAGGGTTTGGGGGGACGATACATAAGAAGAACTTTGAGGGAAAGGTTGGAGGGGTGATAAAGGGTAAGGTACTCAAAGGAGGGGAAGGTTCCAGAGGAGTAAGGGGATAGCCCGAGCGGGGACCGGGAGATGAGAGCTACACCACCACCACGGCGGTTTAGTTGTGGGGTATGATGGAAGGTGTAGCCGGATGGTGTGGCTTCCGTCAGGGGGAAGGTGTCACCTGGAGTGATCCAAGTTTCAGTGAGGAGCGAGAATGTCGATGTTTTCATCGACGATGAGGTCTTGGATGGTGAGTGTTTGGGCCCGACGGAGGATTCGCAGGCTGGAGCAGGGGGAGGCAGTAAAATAATAATAATAATAATCCTTGCATTTGATATAGCGCTTTTCACGTCGGGAGGACGTCCCAAAGCGCTTCACAGAACACACTGTAAAGTGAATTGACTGTATATTTGTGGGCGAACGCGGCAGCCAATTGCGCACAGCAATGTCCCACAAACAGTCGTAGATTGAAAATGACCAATTTATTATTGTTTTTGGTTTTGGAGGGATTATTATTAGGCTCTGTGGAGTAAGGAAACTTGCCCAAGGTTTCGCCCTGCCTGGAATTGAACTCAGGTCTCTCACTTGCAAAGCGAGTGCTCTAACCACTGAGCTACAGGACTCAAGCAGGGATAGAAGTCAGAGAGGGCAGTAGGAGAGGAAGACGGAGCGGGAGTAATGGAGGGTAGAGGACAGGCGTGTGAGGGGTGGGGGGTGGGGGAGGGGGAGAACTGACAGGGAGGGAATATATTCTAACTATGGTGCTTATAAAAATATTCCTTCTAAAGAATTAAGTGTTTCTTTTACCAGTCAATTTTTTTCAATGGCTTAAATCTCATTCAGTTATTGATATGATCTCAGCTTTTAATGTCATAATTAGTTAGACGCAATGTACATATTATGATTGACTTAATATTTCCAGCATTTCTTTTACTATTTTAGTATTATAATAATTGTGACATTTGATATTGTGCCTTTCACATCAGGAGAACTCATCAAAGT